GCGTAGAAGACGAATGTGCGGAGGATATAGATCGAGGTCCAGACCTGATTTCCTCAAAGTCCCCTGCTGTCGGTTCTCTATCTTGTCCCAGCAGTCCGGCACACGCTATATCAGGGTCTCTACCGTTTCGTACTCTCAGCACGTCAGCGGCTGCGGGAGCGACTCCGCCAAGCACAATTGGTTCGGCTGCTTGTCTAGCTCAGTCACAGGGTCATCCAACCACCGAAGATCTTCGGTGACAAACATAGGTCGTTAGCACAAAGGAATGTTTGAAAACCTGGCTAGCAAAGCCACCAGAAGAGGTACCCTTCGGATAGGGTCTCATTCGACGCGTCCGTTCCGCCTCTTGTGAAGAATAGGCTCTCCTAGATATTATCTCCTGCATATTGCACGAGTCTTATCCTTCGCTTTGATGTAGTGCGAAGTTTATTTTACCTGAGCTTCCTTATCGCGCTACATTGTCCAACATCCACATGTATCTCCTAGTTCCGGGGGAGCAAGTGTACGATATGTTTCCTATGACTGCCAAACGTATGGCCCGTGTTTCAATGGGAAGTAGTACGATTTCGCAGTTTGCCAACTGGCTCCAGAGCCCATTGCTCACCGCCGCAACATAACATGGACCGTGCTTTTGATACCAATACACCCAAATTGTGGAAGTGCTTCGTATTCTGCTGCGCCTCTACCCAAGGGGCATGTTGCGCCCAGTCGCTTAGAGGGTTATGAGGCAAGTGTAGCAAGCATCTGAACTGTTGACGGTGATCATGTTTGGCATATTTCCGCGGATACGCGAAGATTGACATGCCTCAGCATTGCACTGCCTTGCTGGCCCATAGCCAACATGTTACTGTTACATGGATCGGCTCGCGAATCTTGGATGCGGAAGATCTTCGAGTGCGTGAAGCTAGACGGAGGGAGGCGCAAACAACCAAGTGCTTAGCCTCATACATGCGATCAGGGGTCGCAGAGCCTCGGTAGACATCGATGCGAGAATGGATGTGCTTTCGGGGGGATGTCGCCGATGCAATCAGTTCCAGGCCCAACTAGGTACCGTTGAGCCCGAAGCGTCACACAATAAACTCAACACGCACCAGTTTCTTCTGCGCAGATCCGGACTAGAGAGTCATGATCTTTGGTTATGGATGTTAGCATTAATCATAAGGGCTTGACCAAACAGCTCTTGCCTCTTGCACGACGGAAGCCGCAGAAAACGGACGGCGAGGTACAAGCGCTCTTTTAATCGGCGAGTCTCCCATAAGATGCCGGCTCAGGATGCATACGATTTGCAACAGTCTCGAGTCCACACAATGAGGCAAGTTCAATTCGACCTCTTCGTCACATCGAATGAAGGGTTCTCCGCGCGGGATGGAATGCTGGCCAACTTGCATGGAGCTCGCTGTGCGCGTGTATTCTAGCGGTTCTGTTCAGCTATTGTATTTGCATACAGCTCAGCATAGGACCATGGCTGCGTGTTGGAATAGGTAGGTAGGTAGGGACTTGGCAGGCAGCGTCGAAGCAGCTTGTATGGGCTTTGGGTCGCTTCTGCTCGAAAGCGCTTCCTAATTCCCTCGAGTGATGTTGGAATACATGAATGCTGGTGTGAAAGTAGCCCAAGTTTTGATATGGGATACGAACAGCACAGTCACGTGAGACGCTTAGGTAATAACAAAAGCTCTGACACCCACCATCTGCACTTTCCCCGCTGTATCGCGAAGCCAACCGCGACAAGACCACGACGAATTCCCTCATCACCAGCGCGTTCCTGCTAACTACATCGGTGTGATCGCGCCTGTCTCTTCTTCTCTGCTACACAGTCAGTGATAGAGACACTCAATCTTGTCATCAACAAGAAGCAAGCTGACGCCCAGGATCCCTTCTCTAAAGCAAGATAGCGTCGCACAGCACCACAACAAGAGCCAACATGACAAAGTCTCGCTCAAGCTCTGCGTCAGAGGGCGAGGTCTTGGATACCCGACACAAGGCAAACACAGTCAACTCGCGCAACGAACCTGCGATTAACGGCTCAAACAGGTCCTTTGGACTGGATGGTGCTTATGATAACTACCGCGCCTTGAGTCGATCTCCTTCGCCATACCGCCGCAAGCGCACACCGTCACGATCTCCGTCGCCATATCGGAGAAGCCGCGCCGCCGACCGTTCGCCATCGCCTTACCGACGAAGCCGAGCTGATCAAGCTGGGAATGATTCAAGGGGCTACAAGCGCAAGGCCTCTCCGCCGCGCAGTCGCCCTGACAAGCGATACCATGCTGATCATAGCAGACACGGTGATTCTCGACGAGCTCCGGGACCTCACCAGACCAGTTCTGCGAAGGAACAGAAGGACGTACCAGATCGACCGCATGCAAAGCCTATATCGTACGCCGAGGTCGAGAACCCGAGTCCTGTCCCAGACTTCCGAGAGTCTCTGCCGACCGACAAGCGACCTCAGAACTCGCGTCACGGTGACAAACAGCGTGAGAAGACTCGCCAGCCGCAGCAACAGAGCAGACAGACACCGTCCCAAGAGTCCAATTCTCAAGCAAAGCAGGCAAGCGTGGCCGAAGATGTTGACATGTAAGTGGACCAGCTCCCAACCAACCCCATCTAAGAGCTGACTCTGCAACAGGACGTCCGCCGACGATACTACTGATTACACCCCAGCTCCGGTCGAAGAGAAAGTCCCCACCCAAGAATCACGCGAAGAGAAGCGTCGACGATGGGCTGCTATACGCGCAGCTGCTGAGCAAAAGAAGTCAAAAGAAAACCTTCTCCAGCAGGCTGTCCTTACTAACGCGTCCGAAGCGACGACGCCCAATGTTGCTTCCCCAGCCGCCTACGCAGACAGCCCCATATCACCGTTCGCATCGCCTCGCAATGGCGACCTCGACTCTGTACCCGCCTCTCCAGACGTCATGATAATTGATAAGCAGGGTGGGATCAGTGCTGGTAACAGTCCTGCCGCAGCGAGTCCATCAGCAGCGGACTATGACCCCCTACAGGACATGTTGGATGACCGTGATCGAGCGGCGAAGAAGAATCAGAGCTCAGAAGTGTCCTCGGATGCGTACCGCGAAACCGATCCGAAAGCCCTTTCTACCCTTCCAGCTGAGAAGGTAGCGCCTGTCAAGAAACAAAAAAAAGAATTCGACATGTTCGCCTCTGACGACGAAGATGAGGAGGAAGATGTTGGGACTGAGGACGTTGTCGCTGCGAAAGGCACTGTACTTGACGAGAAAATGCTCGATAATTGGGACGATCCTGAAGGATACTATAAGCTAATTAGCAACGAGCTGGTGGATGGTGGACGTTATCGCATGATCAAGGGTCTTGGGCGTGGTGTTTTCGCTAACGTCGCACAAGCTGAGGAGATCAAAACTGACAACGGCGACACGAATTCGAGAATCGTCGCTATTAAGATGATCCGCAGAAACGACTTGATGAGAAGGGCCAGTCAGAAGGAAATGGACTTCTTGCGCAAAGTCAACGAGGCAGATCCACAAGACAAGCGCCACATCATCCGCTTGCTGGGGTCGTTCGACCACAAGGGTCATTTGTGTATTGTGTTTGAGCACATGTCGAAGAACTTGCGGGACTTACTCAAGGAAGAAACTAATGGCCACGGTCTTACGCTTCCAGCTGTGCGTATCTATGCGCGTCAGATGTTCCTTGGCCTCCAACACTTGCAAAATTGTCAGGTCATTCACCTCGATCTGAAGCCAGACAACGTTTTGGTCTCTGCTGATAAGAAGACCATAAAGCTTGCCGATTTTGGTACCGCGGTCGACAAACGAGACGTTATCGAGCGCACCGAGTACCTCGTCAGTCGGTTCTACCGCGCACCTGAGATTATACTCGGTATGGACGTTGGCTATCCTGTAGACATGTGGGCTGTAGGTTGCACCGTATATGAGTTATGGACTGGCAAAATTCTTTTCACTGGACGATCAAACAACCAGATGATCAAATCCTTCATGGACTGCTTGGGATGGCCGAGCGAGAAACTGCTCAAGAAAGGCCTCGTCAACAACATTCTTGAGAACTTTGAGCTGGGACCCCCACTAAAATTCATCAGCCGTGAAGTTGACCAATACAACAAGGTACGCTTTCGTTATTCATTTGAGAGATGGAGCTAATTTTTTCACAGCTCTCTGTTCGCAAGATCGAGCAGCAGAAAAGGATCAGTCGCGATATGAAGACTAGAGTCCACGACGCCGCCCGAAACATATCTAGTGGAGGGCCAACTGTCAGCGAGTTAAACGATCTAGCGGATCTGTTGAGTGCTAGCCTACACATGAACGTCGAGAAGCGCATATCACCAAAGGAAGCTCTTGCACACAAGTTCTTTGCTAACAAGAATCCTGCGCCCAAGACTGCCACGACCACAAAATCTGCTGTCGTCAAGCCGCCCATGATGAAGCGTAGTACCCCAGTTGGTACGCCTAGTGTTCGTCGGTAAGCACTGCAAAATGGATTTTTAGCGTTGCAGTTTTATTGACTTTCGGCGTTGTTTTGCTTCTCTGCTTTCAGTATGAAATGACGGGCCGTTTTCGAGGGAGGCGCCCGGGCATCCGTTTGAGATCCTGAATATGAGAAATCAACATAGCTGGTTACCAGGCATTCATCAAACTGGTTTGTGGAATCGGGGATGCTAGCTGTAGAAAATAACGGCAGAGGAACCTGGTTCTTGAAATGAGTGGAAAGCGTCTTCTTTGACATGGGACCTGGCGCCAGCCTTGCGACGCTGTCCACATACAGCTTCCAAGTATGTCCTCTTTTAGCCCTCCAGGCCAAAAACTGTTGGGATGCAGCCGCGGTATTAATCGGATCGGAGAATAAGCACTTGCTGTCCAGCTCACTGAGCCATGTGACATAGTTAGCAACTGATGTATGGAACATCGAAGTACGTCTTCACATGTACAATTTTAGGGTTTAGACGATTTCGAGGTCATGCACCACAAACGATTCAGACTCTTCAACTTGCGATACAAGCATGCTATAATTCAGGCGTCAATCTCTCCCTTTAAGAAAGCCTTTACTTTGTCACCCCAGATGACTTGACGCTTGTAAATTGTCATGCCGGGTGCACTGCCAAGGCCCAAACCATCAATAGCCTCCGCAAGCACCTCTCCGCTCCCCTCATCTCTCAATTCGCGCAACGGATACTGATACGTCTAGCTGTTGTCAGCGGACCGTCAAGTGAGAAGAAGCTCCATCTGAAGCCCTCCAAACTAGCCAAAATTACCTTGAAAGCAAATACTAGCGCCCCGGTCTTTGGCAAACGATGCAATGTCTGTCTCTCACATCTCACCACCGTCTTGTCCAAATCAATTTCCTCTTCCGCTTCGATCTTTTGCTTCTGAGCCAAATCCTCCTCACTCATGTGGTTCCCTTCCAAGCAGAACAACTCTCCATTTGTACTTATACTCCAATTACTCCGCTTGACGATCTTGCCCACGGGTAGGTTGGCAAAGAAGCGATCCATGCTCTTTTCTAGCTTAGCGGCATAGCCGGGGACAGGAGCATGTATGGCAGCGAGAAGTTGATTGAGCTTGGAACGTGTGTTGAATCCGCTCGGAAAGCAGTTTATAAAGGCCGTTAGCAAGTATTTAGTCTGCGTAGTGGTACCGAACGACGAACCATCGAGTGGTTCGGAGGCGAAAGGGGAAGGGGTGAGTAGTAAGAACTCCGTGTCGATATTGGAGCCTAGGATTTCCAGAGCTTCTTCCCCGTGAGTCATGTGTAGTGGGATCAGGCTATCTGTGACATGGTTGCGCAGATGCTTTCCCGACTCCGTGATGGCGTATAGACTTGGAAAGCGAAGAGGCAGGTATGTTCTTGTGAGCCATTCGTACAGTTCTAGGACGGCGGGGACGGCTTCTGAGTTACATGCAAGGACTTCGTAACGTTCCTTTTCGATGAGTCGCGAACGGATTTGTAACCGTTCGCGATAAGTGTTATCCATTGCAATTAGATCATTCAGCGTAGCATTTTCGAGTGCTGTTGCAGCGTCGCTGTTAGTGAATACGCGTGCTCTTGGTACGTAGTGGTAGAGACTTTACCCATTGTCATGTGGTATTTTGGTTTGAAAGGGCGGAGCTTGAGAGGCTGTGCCGTATCCAGGTTGAAGTTTGAAAGGGAGGTGATATCATCGTATGCGAATTCTGAGTATACGTGTTCGGCTTTCTGCTTGACCGGTGTTGACAACAATGGAAGTCGTAATCGCTAGTTTAGAAGTTGCGTCAGAGTGCTCGTGTGGAAGATCAGTGGACAGAAGAACATACACAGATGTTATTCTGCAGGTGAGCTCTTTTGGAGTAGGCATAGGCGATTGCTCCTAGTAACAGGAGCGTCCATGCCAGCGGTCTGTTGATCATGTCAAGTTCGTCCATGGTAGCTTGGATGACTGTTCAGAAGTATCACGCAGGACAGTCGTATATAAGTTATGTTCAATGTCAATGTATGTGTTACCCACGCAGGGCGTCGGATTAACAAGTCGTCATGACATGGAAGAAAGAAGACATGAAGCGGTAGACGCTGCAAACGCTTCAAACGCGACGGCAATGCTATCAGTTGTTGAAACAAGTGGGATCTAGTTGCCTATCAGAGCTAACCCCGCATTGGAGCGGTTACGCTAAGATGGCGTACTAGCAAACGGGGCAGATCACAACGATGCAGTCTTGCACGTGTGCTTGAAATTGGACTAGTTGTGAGATTGATAGTCTCAGCAGACAATCTGTTCTGCCTCGATGCTACGTCTGCAGCTGTCTGACGCAGGACAGACTTGTAGTAGATATCGCTGTCCCAGTCCCACCAGCTCCTGCACTTGTTCCTCGGCTCTGTCAGGCCTTTCTGCTTCCTCGTTGGCACGCTTATGCTTTAGCGTCCTCGGCTTCTGGATGGCCTACAGGCACCAACTTGCCCACAACAAGGTACTTTTCCTCGAATCTCTCTTCCCAACCTCTCAAGGCATCCAGCTGCTCAGCATCCAGATTCTCCAGAGTGTCGAGTGGTCCGTCCAGATCCTTGGTCAGCATGTCCTCATCAAAACTACCGCAGGCCAGGCCTCTCGAGGCATCGCGGCCAGCGAAGTTTGCATAGGGGCCACCCGGGCCATAGAAGTTGCGGCCGGATGTGACGTCAAAGACGCGACCACGAACCGCGAGATAGACAGGCATGTTGTTCAAGCCATTGTAGGGGAAGAGCGAGGGCGGGGTGAAGGTGCGGAAGACGGTTGGCGGCGGGGCGCGTGGGAGGGTTTGCGGGGCGGCTGGTTTGAGCCGGAGATAGACAACAAGGGCGAAGAGGGAGAGGAGGATGAGGTTTATCGGGGTGAAGACGGAGGCGCTGCGGTTCTGTGAGTCGAGTCGAGTGCTTGCTGGGTAGCTTGTATTGCTGCTTACGCGTGGGTTGCCGATGGCTCCGGAAGAGGTGAAGGGAGTGCTGTTGCCATTAGCTTGACCCCATGTACGCGCACAATGCAGAACTAACCATCCGCCATGGTGGAAACGCGACGTTGTAGATAGGCTACGTGGGTGACAGTCGACGGGGCTGTCGTGGTGGATGGTAGGGTTTCAACGGCGCGGGGAGCTTAGTTGCAGGCCATGATGCAACCCCCCCATGCTCAGCACTAACCAGACATGCATGCCCAAAAGACGACGGACGTCCGCCGCAAACTATCACGAACCTGCATGGCACATGTTCCCGACGTACAAATCCAGCCGTGCAAGCAATGGAGTCATTCGGATTGCCAGCGGGCCGTGAAAGGGGGTAGTGCACATGTTATCACAGCTGAGGCGCGCGTGAGACATAGCCACTCTCTCTTTCACCGGAGAGTCGCCATGTAATCTTAAGATACTTTGACGACATCTTCACCTCCACTTCACAAACCCCAAGCATGCGCCTACCTGCGCGCAAACACGAGCTTCGCGCCGCTCCACCCATCCCATCCCTGCGCCTCACCTTTTGAAACAAGGCCCTGAAACGCGCGACAGCGATTCATTTCCGCCGCCTTGGGACTCGCTGATTCGCCTAGGCTGCACTTGTCGCCTTGGGCCTATCCAAACAATCGTCAGAGAGCAATTCGCTGCCGTCGAACCGCTGCTTGAAGACAGAGACTTGCGGCACCGGTGCGATATCGTGCCGCTGGCGCTTTGGTCGAGGCGCACTTCCTACTTGGTTGTCTTGTCCTGGTCTTCTTCGAGTGAGCTGACACCATCTACATCTCGACGTCGACTTGATCGCCCTCCTTCATTTACCAAAATTACGCCTTCGCATCCGCCCGTGACCAAGGATCCGAGGCTTGAACCTACATACATGCTGTTTCTTTGTTTAATCTGAGCGTCAACATCAACTATCAACAATCAACCACTTCTTCAACAAATCCGCTTTACGCATAATATCCTGTACGTATATTCCTTATCTTGTCGCCAGCTCTTTTGCACTTGGTACTTGCGTTGTCGACATCGGCCATCGGCATCCTCTCGTGCTCGTTTCCACATCGTGTTCCTCGAGACGAGAATTGCACATGGCCTAGCAAGAGTCGGTATTCTCGCCTTCCTCATACTCGCCAACAGTCTTGGAGGACATCGCACGTCCCATCTGCCTTGCTGTACGTGTATTCTATGGTATTGGCCGCCCACACCTCTCTGATCGACGGACCATGTTTCTCGCCTATCGCCCGCACCGACAGCTGCTTCCACCAGATCTAGGACCTTGCCAAGTCTCGCGATGTCGACGGGTTTCAAAAAGCACCCAACAATCATGCAATGTGCTCTGAAGACTGCTGGGAATAGGAGAGGCTCCGTCGCAATAAGTAGCCCTCAGCCGCTGAGAATGTCGCTTTGCCTACTTCGTGATGCTCATGTATACTTGTACTTCTATCGATTCGGGCTAATCTTTGTTTCATGCAGAATCCTTAATAATGTGGAAACGATTGCAGGGTGCCGTCCGGGATAAGGATAAGGAGAGGCATGCACGAATAGGCAATCCCGTACTTCTTGAAACCACTTATGACGAGGATCAACTGAATCGCAATCCCAAAGTGACCGACCTCCAAAATGGCAGTCACCAGAATTATGCGCTCCCTCCGCTGTCCCAGTAAGTACTCGAATCCTCATTTCCTGTGTCACCACTGATTGCCTGGCAGTTTATCAGCTCCTCACGAGCCTCCCCACTATAGATCGTCAGAAGTACCAACAGCCTCGTCTATTTACTCACAAGACACACTCTGCTACAACAACGACAATCCCACAGCCACATCTCCCTCCGCTTACCACGACATATCGCCTCCTAGCTCTCCTGAGCCAGAACAGCACTCCTCCTCTTTTCTACCTCGAAGATTCCGCTCCATGCGCGACGTATCACCCATGGACGAAGACCGCAAGAAACTCGAAGACAACACCCGCGCGGGTAGCCACATTCCTGTTCTACGCAGAGCGCCATCCGTGCTTAGAAATGGCGACGCAGAGTCAGGACCAAAGCAGAAGTTTTGGGAAGGCAAGCTTGCACCAAATTCTAAAGTGAAATGGGACGAGTATTCAGGCGAGCCCAATAGTGCAGGAAAGGCCGCGTCAGTTGATCCAGTCTCTTATGCGAAAGGCGTGGCATCGTCAGACAGGCCTATGGGGTATCAGGTTTCAGTCAGTGGGCCTCAGAAAAAGAACACAAGTTTCGGCGAGCGTGTTGGCCGCTTCGGGTCGAAGCGTTCACCACCGCCCGTGGAGCCGTGGAGCCGAGCTACGGGACGATCAGAGATCGCACCTCCGCTGAAATACCAACCTGCAGACAAACCACTACAGATACCACGAAAGACAGTCTCACCAAGCACAGACCAGGAGGTGTCAAACGCGCTTGCGGCTGCCATCATCTTCGATACCAAACTGCCTGATACTCAATACGTAACAACTGAAATGGCGCCCAAGGATCCACGCGACAACGATATGCGCTACAATGACAGCATTAAGCCGATTGCCCCGCTGAAAGTGGGAAAGAATACTCCCACCTCACCTCAAGGCTTAGGGATTACGACTTCGTATCCGAGCCCTATTACTCCAACCACCCGCACACAGATGAACCAGTCACCAGCCACTGTGACACCGGTAGAACAGACGCTATACCCCAGCTTACGGAATACGACCCCGCCTTCGGACAAGGACAAGCAAGCGCCCATCAGCCGATTTTCGTGGACTACCTACAACAGCGCGACGACCGCCCAACACTCACCACCACCCTCACCACCGATTGCGAAGCGCGTCGTGACAGAACCCATATCAGCCGCCTCGTCAATCCTAAATCGCCGCCGCCCAGTGCCATCAGCAGATAGTGCCAACGCGCCCAGCATGCCCAAAGTCTATGCCCGTAACCCAACTTCCCCTTACGCCTCATCCACCTTCTCCAACTCGTCCAAAAAGGCACTGCCACATCCCCCTAGCGCTCTCAGCGCCATCGACCACATTGCCTACCTGGAATCGCAACAAGAAGACCTGCGTATCCGTCGTAACAATGTGTACCGCCTACTAAAGGACTTGAACAACGCTGCGCCGACTAACCCGCTAGTCACTGACTTCAAAAAGGCCAGGGTGGCGGAAGAGAGGAAAAAGGCGTTTCAAGAAGAGTTGGATGAGATTCGCGCCGAGGAGCATGACATTGGGCTCAAACTTCATCGCGCGTGGAAGAAGAGGGAGAGGGATGATCCAAACTCCAATGGGAGTGCGTTATGGGTGAGGAGAGTTACCAGCTAAAAGGAGGATGCGTGTTGGTGTATGATATGAATCTTTTCTCTTCTTTTCCTCCAAGGCATTTGCATAAGGTGGCTGGTGCCACTATTTCTGGCTACATCTTCTCTGGCTCAAATCATCAGGGCTTGTCCAAGTCTGTTCTTATTTGTTCTTGAATCAACTACTCCTTGATTATGATACTCAACACTTTCACAGACCGATGCAAATGGTGACATATCTTGGTATATATTAAATGTGCAATACCGATTCACAGGCTAGTCGACTTCTGGAACAGGTAGTCCGTTGATTATCATCATGCCTTCTCTTCCTAACATCTTCATCGCCTTGGCCGCTTCGTCATGTCGCAACTGCTTTGTCTCCTCGTCTGTAACGAGTACGAAGTCGTACTTGAGCAGCTTCGACCCCTCTTTGGCATCATACTTTTTGGCCTGCTCGGCTGTCACAGTACCTAAGCTGACGATAAGAGACTCCTTGACGCCAAAGACAGCATCAGATGTCTCGTAGTCAGAACCACGGACATACAACGCCCTGCACAACGTTCAGCACGGATATAGTAAAAAAAGGGTAGCAAGAAAACTCACGTAACCAGGTTATCAAAACCCTCCTTCTCGAACATGAAGTGCATATGACTCGGTCTCCAACAATGTCTTCCCAGTTTTTCAAGCAATTTGCCGACAGGTCCGTCATTAGGAATTGGGTATGGCACAGGTACAATACCCTTGAACCAAAACACACCATCTTTGTCACTCCTTATGACAGCACGGCCGTCGGCTTTATCGCCCCTGTTCTCATACTGCACATCGTATTTTCCATGGGAGTCTGTCTCCCACACATCTACCTTGACGTCTGGCACAGGTTCGCCGGTTGTGGTCTTGACAGTACAGAGGACAAGTAGGGCCTCACCATTGGGATCAGCCGAGATTGAGGTGCCGTTTGAGTCGGATGGCGCGTCATGCGTGTGGAAGGGGCCAAGGACTGTGCCTTCAGTTGAAGAGGGAGGTTTCGGGTGGTCGATGGAGTCTACGAGGAGGGAGAGACCGACTATGTCTGAGAGGAGAATGAATTCCTACAATAAGTTAGTATTTTTCATCTTCTAGATGCAAGACTAGATGGAGACCATACCTGTCGCACGTCTGTACATATCTGCCCAACTTGCGTGAGAAACTGAATGCCTGCCATCCATTCATCGAAGCTCAATCGCGTCTCGCGCGCGAAGTCGTGCAGGTGCAAGACCAGACGTTCCATGACATACTTGAGGCGCGGGTCGCTGCATTGCGAATTTATTCGGTGTACATTCTCGGTGATGTTTTCGATGGTGAGGTCCTTGAGGACGGGAACCGTGGAGGCATCTGCGCTCTTGGAAGATGCCATTACGTGCAACGAGACGGCCAGGTAGCAGGGGCGTATGGAGACACGAAGAGCAATCGAGGCACAGAGTAAGAGCGATACTGATGTGCTCAAAGTGTAGAATAAAACGAAGCTCTTGAAGCTATTCAAAGGAGAGTTCAGTCGCAGTTAGCCGTAACATTGACAAATGGGAAGGACCCGCGAAGCTTAACGCGAGAGACCTCCATCGGATCCACCCTAAAAGAGTGCCGCTGACCATGCCAGAAAGCTCATAGGCCAAGTAGCTGGAAAGCGCAGGGTTACAGGCGCCGGCAGAGAGTTCAAGAGGTGGAGGTGATGATGTCGGAGGGGCTCTCGGTACCTGGGATGCGGGGCAGCTTCCAGCGCCAGCTTACCAAGAGCTTACAAGCAGTTGTGCAATCACAATCTTCAACGGCACACGACAATGCGTAGCAGTTCCAACGACTAGTACAGTAGTGTACCTGAGTAGACTTCTAGAAACTACTAACGCTATGAACCATGCTCTGTACGACTGTCCGGCAATTGGCCTAGACATATTGCGTCACTAAAACTGCAGGAACAATGCAGTCAATAGATGCACATAGAGTAATAACGAGATGCGTTGATTTTTTTCCATATTGCCTTTAAAGCGTATCGTAACTGTAATCCTGTGCGCCATGATCGTTCCCGCCCATCATCCCGAACTCCGCCCGCATGCCACCAGCCCATAGTGACCCATCATAAAGACATGACTGCTGTAGGTGAACCGAAGTCAACCAAGGAAAGTGAAATCCAGTGAGCAACCTCATGGGAGGTTAGACATTGTTCTTGGGATTCTCTGGTGAAGCTTTCCACTGCTCAACGTTAACCAAATTACTCGTCGTTGCACAGTGGTGCCCTAAGCTCGGTCGAGTAACATACCTTCTTGCCGAGCTCTTGCTGTTGCTCCTTGAAAGACAGGTCCTTGTACTCGTCACGGTGAGCTTTAACTGTGACTTTCTGTTAGCAAATGTCGTCATCTCAGAGTGCAGTGTTATTGCGCCTCGACTAACACGTTTGGATAACGCGTCAAAACGCGTCAAACGTTACAGACTTACAGTATGCTTGCATCTTGGCCATGGCAGTCCTCGCATTGTTCTTTTTGCCAACGCGACCGCCCTTGGGAGCAGCCTTCTTGATACCCGCGCCGTTGGTCGCTTTCGGTATCGCAGTTTTAGTAGTGGTGGTAGTGGCCATGATCAGTAGCAGATGCTGATAGATGTTGTGTTAGAGTTGTCAGATGAGAAGAGCTTCTGGTATGAATGGTAAGTAGAGGCGTAGTTGTAACGTTGATAAGAGGTAAGTGTGAACTGAAGGTTTATTGACAGAAGGCGCGACCCAGACCGCGCTAAGCTTTACTTAGTTTACCACGCATCTACTCCATGGATTCAACAGCCTGTCCAGATGCTTGCGCGACGTTGGAAATATGGTCTCAAGCGATTGGTGCTTGTCATCACATGAAACACGTAGCAATATGCGCCCCTAAACAATCATTCCGGAAGCGAGGGATAGCGGCATGGAACGCGCGATCATGCCTAAGGGAGTGGACAACCCCATCTCATAAACCATAGAGCTGACGTGAGCAGCGTGTTGGTCTTCGGGGACGCCCAATGCCGTTTCCAAGGCAGTCGGACGGGATTGGGCCACCGTGACGCAGTCATTCGCGTAGCCATACGGATCCTCGTACATCTACAACGCATCTTGGTCTGTCGTAACAGGGGCGCAACGGGTCCTTTAGTGCTTGAACGACTTGCACTATGGTGATTGTACCTCGAAGTTTACCATTCTGCGGGTGAGATTCTATGTCAGGGCCCGGTCATCTGAGATTCTGAAACCTTTCTTGAATCACCTTATCCAAAGACACACCCAGAGATCCAGCTCTTCTTCACAAAAACCCAGCCGGAGCGCGTCAAACGAGGTTCGATTGTGCGTTGGTCTCTGATTATACTCTCACGAATGCGCCGTCTTCTCTTCCGTTATACGACGATGTCGGGCATCTTGCGAGTCAGCCTCCATGCCCCCTGTACTCAGCACCGGCCGGTCTATACCTCGAGAGGCGATACTAAACTTCCGACGGTGACCGCTCGGGCGCTCAGTGAGGCTTGGGGCACGAGGTCTCGCTTTTCCGCGAGCGCGTCCGCCGATGAAAGGTATCTCGTATGCGCCAGCGCGACAGCAGTATAGGAGTAGGTCGTAGACGAGCAGCGCTGCCCATGGGCCGATGGCTACGAGGCCGAGAAAGAGCTATTATACTGTGAGAAGGCAAAGTCCAATCGAGCATGCTTTGGTCTACTCACGAATATGCGTGTGATCCAGGTTTCTACCACGGCCAAGTTTGCAGGTAGAATAGAGAGAAATCCCATGGCGGGGCGTAGCGGATGTTTGCACTGGTAGAGAGGAAGCTGAGGATAAGGGGCGCGTAAGAGGTATAGAGGGTCTGGAGATACACTGAATGCTTGCAATTGAATCAACGATAGTCGCCCACCAATGACACCAAATTCCAACGACAAAGACGGGTGATGTCTACGTCTGGTGGAGAGATCGGCCGTCATCATCAAGCCGCCGCCGCGATGGGGACCGAAGTGGGTCGTGGCTGAAGCTTTCCCCAGCTTGGTACCGGGCTCACCATCACCGATCCAACACCAACCACTGAACATCAACCCTCAACATTAGATGCAGCTGACATCTCAGCCTTATGTGAGGCTGTACAATGGTTGTTACTCTGATTGGGTGGCAACTAGGCCCTAGCTTTGCGAAGCCAGTAAGGCATGTCCGGCATACTGGCAAGCATGCCCACCCCTCCAGGGAGACAGCTCCCAAGGCTCCATGCCCCTCCGTTGCCATACCACTTGTTGTTCAGTCACATCGTGATCAACTGAGCCAAATCCAGGTCAAGCAAAATCTGGTGCTGCTACGTCTTCGTTACATTGACCGTTGACCCTTAACCGGCGGCCTCCCAAAGTACAGGCGCTTGGCCCTGCGCATGCAGACGGCTGCCTGGACCTAATCATCTCGGGTCTTGAGTCTTCTCAGACACCCAGACAGCGGTTCTCTATTCATTGCACGGTTTCAGACTTTGAACATTCCCTTCGACATCACTCTGGATTATCGCACGAATTCTGACTTGCCCACGCCAACAAACTGGGGCTGACCTCACTGCTGCGCCTTGCCAGCAGCCTCGTTGCTTCATCTACTCGACTCAAACAAATCGAAAATATATGCTAAGTCAGTGCTGGATCTCGAGCCTTGTGCGCGTTCTTGTGTCCTTCCGTTCACACTCAACATGAACGACCTCTCTTTCCTAGACGCGTACCTCAAGCAAGGTCAGAGCAATGCGACGTTGAAGGTAGTTCTTCCCAACGGAGAGGTTCGCGAGATCTCTGATCGTATCTGCCCATTCAAGTTTTTGGACAAGTGCCCTCTACTGTACCATGCATTCGAGTACGGTTTCCAGAGTCGCTTGCAAGCCAGCCTTGAGGCTCCGTCCGAGTATGCCATCATATCGCTTCTCCGTTACTGCTACACCGGTAGCTATCTCCCTCCACAAGCAGAGTATGGGCCAATACTGCTTCTTCCGCACGTCGAAACGTACAAGATTGCCGAAGACTTCGATGTTGCCGAGCTACAGCTACTTGCGCATGGCAATATCTCGCTACAGGTTGATTTCGCCTGCTCTCTACCTGCCCCTCCACAAGACTTACTCGAAACCATACGTTTCGTGTATCGACATTACGCGAGTCAGAAGGCCCGCCGACAACATGCTCTTGTTGACACACTCCTCAACTACTGCATCTCAACTTTTCTGGCCCACAGACTCGGCGAAGAAGCCGAGTTTCTCAAGATTGCGGCCGATATTCCAGACCTTCGTCAGGACCTCTGTCGCATGAACATGGAGCGCAATTTCGAGGATGAATGTAAGATTCGCTATAGCTATTGGGGATATCCAGGCTAACTTCAATAGGCGCACAGGATATCATACGGTTGTGTCTTGACACCCTTCAGACTCAGCCTTGTGTTCGCCCGACTGTCCTTGCTTCAAGAGACCTACCACAAGAGATGATTTGCGGCGATTCTGGAGACATTCTGCGCGAATCGCACCACCCGCGTGGCGATCACTGGACTGCCAATCAATCTAAAACTCATGAAGAGGCGGGTCAGGACAACATGGTCGATTCAGTTATTACAACCTTTGTGCATCGGCCCAAAGTCGAGCGGCGAGTGACCTTTGCAGAAACAAACGTCGGTTTGCAGTCCGTAGATTCTCACTCTGGCCGCTCCGAAAGCACTTCTACGTTCAAGCTCCCTGGAATAGCTACTAGCTTTCTAGCACCTGCTTTCTTCGATCTGCCTACCACACAACCAACACCCAGCGGTGACTCCCCCGATGAAGACCAGGGTTTCACCTTAGTCTCTCGACCCAAACCGCACACTCTGGCTAAAATCGACGAGCCTATGTCCAGTCCTGAGATGGTTCCTGCCGCTGTTTTTGATATCCTAGCCGCCAGCGGCACTGACTACGCCAGCGACGACGACTGGGATATGGTCTCTACGACTGAGATATGAACCGGAACCATAATTATGGTCTTTCATATACAAAATATTGTGGTTCTGACATTGTATAGCGTCATTTGTAGGGATTTTTAGGTCACATGCATGGATATCTTATGAAAGGTTATTTGATTTCACGATCGTTCTGGCATCCAGCTATCTGGGTGTGGCTTCCAGTTGTGTGGCGAGGGCGTTATCGGCGATACAACGGAAAACCTTGTATAGGTGCAGCATTACGTTGGTAAGCATTCCTCAATATACTCTGCATTGATAATCGGCAAGGCTCTGTTGGGAAATGGCACATTCGTTATGTCTCTATTTTTTTTTTTAAAGAAAATCCAGAACATAAATATAATTTATCAATCTTGTCATTGAAGGCAATTATTGCTACAGTTGCGACCAGCATCAACATCTCTAGTACCATCTTCTAGAACCTATAGCACAATACCAACTATCTTCAGACCTCACAAACCTCTGCTATATCACCATCTGTCTCAAGAATGTTATTACACCTAGTGTCACAGTTCGCTGCGCAACTCCCCTGTCCATCGTGATGTTCTCTCGGCGCATGGTTCCAGTGCCGACTCTCTAACTGGCCGTGAAATTCCGTTTGGTCGACAGGATTGGTCTTGTCTTGGCTAATGTAGTACCAATATGTTGCGATTATCCAGGGATCAAGGAAGAGTTGTAGCGTTTGTGGGCGGCTTTTAGATGTGTCTGCAGCAAGACTTTGCTCCTGATCGTACGCTGAGATATTTCTCAGTCTGGATCACAGCCTGCAGGGTCTGCAGTATTGTGATTTCGAGACGAAGCACAGAGAATACTGTGAATCATTACGTTCGGCTTACATCACCTGCAAGTAGCGCTCTTTACCTACCATGGCCCAACTATGCAACCAGCGAATGGTGGGAAGGACAACGTGATATTGAGAGAATCTCGGTAACATGGGTTGGCGCGATCACTGAGACGGGCGAATTTTTACAATGAAAATACCAAGGTGTTGGGTTGCAACACATCAAGTTTGCATAGTCAGTGGTTCTCTTCGAGGCTGAAGCAATCACACAGCAAGGTCGTTTTGACAAAGCAAGCAAGCCGACATTGCACTCGAAGAGCAGACTCCATGATTGTTAACAGAAAACCGATATTGGGTGAGGAGTAGTCATGTACGGGATTCGTTGATTCGTGTTCATAGCGGCCAGTCTGCAAGCAGGGCCACAGATAGAGTACATGATAATCCATAACCGCACACAATCAGATGAATATGTCCACGTGTACTGAAAGGGCTTTTTGATGTTACAGAAAATTAGGCTGCCTCGTGCAGCTGAGATAACAGTAGGAAAGCTGGCATGAAGGGAATTGCCCTCTCATGACAGCCGGTGAACCAAGAAGAAATTGCATTGAAACAACAGATACATGGAACATCCAAGAAACCAGGAAACAGGAAACACATAAGCAGTCTCATTGGGTTCATGCAGCACAATCGATCCTCCGTTTGTCTTTCAGCTCCGTCATCGCATAAAACATATCCACGGGTAGAAAAGTCTCAAGGGTAGATATTTTGAGAGGTGAGTAGTCTTCAGGAGTAAGAACGCCTACCTAGCTACTGTCAGCAAGTGCTCTAAACAGAGTACGCATAGACTTAAACTTACTTTTGTCGTCTGTCTAGTAGCGGCCACGTGGTGGGTAATCAGCCGCTGCAGCGTCGTAAGGCGGACGGCCTCCGGGGCTACGGGGACGGGCACCACGTGGGGACGGCGGTCTTCCTCCTTCGTAAGGGCGTCCATGACCGTTCATGTATGGGTCATCGTAACCGCGGGGAGGAGGTCGGGCCCTAGCATCATAAGGATCGTCAGGGTAACGCGCGCGCGGTGGGCCATACTCATCAGGCATGCGACCACGAGGCGGCGAACGTCCATAACCTCCATCACGTCTGTCGTAGAACTCGCGGGGAGGTGTGCGTCGGCGATAGTCATCGCGACGAGGGCTGTAGCCACGAGGTGGCCCGCGACGGTCGTAGTAATCATCGTAGGGCGCAGGTGGGTATCCGCCACCGCGGCGGCCCATGGGAGAGCGGGATCGGTATCTATCACGGCCCCGGTCATCAGGACCACCAGGGCCTCCGTAAGGAGCGCGCGGTTTGAAAGGTGGAGGTGGGGGAGGATCGGAGACGTCCTGGACACAGGTAACTTCCTGCCCCTTGAACTCACGACGGTCCAGCTTCTCCACTGCGGTCTTCAGGTCGGCGGCCGTCTCATACTCGACGAATCTACAGTGGATTAGTACGTGTTACTTGCTGCAGTGCTACCTACGTACCCAGTGCCATCGCGCTCGCGGCCAACTTCAGAGTAGACGACGTCCAATCCAGACTGGCGGGCAAAGTCTTTGAGGTCCTATATATTCGAAGTTAAGCGAGGCCCAAATCCAGAACGTAGAACGGGAAGCAAGCGAGAACAAAGCCATTACTGGTCCAGGAACGGTATACTGGCGCTAACAGGGAACTGAAGGAATCCAAGGATCGGGGAGTCTGACCTGCCAGCTGGTCTCCACAGGAAGATTCGCTATTCTCATCCGGTATGGTGTGCGCCTAGGACGCGGGGGAACGCGCTCGTGGGGAGTGAAGTTCTCGTTACGGGCACGCGAGCCGCGAGCGAACTGGACGATGAGGCGCTCGCCCATGAAGTCGGAACCATCTTGAATCAGTTAGGACGTATGTTCGGATTTCTATACACGAGAAGTTACGTACGGAATGCTGTATACAGGTTAGCGTGCGTTCAATGGATTGGCGCGTGGCTGAAGCTTACCAGGGACAACATCACGAGCGTCCATTGCGTCCTTGTACTCGATGAAGCCAAATCCGTTCATGAGTTTGATCTCAGTGATCTCACCAGTACCATGCGTCTGGAAGTGGCCCTCGACATCTGCCTTGGTGGCATTGCGAGGAAGGTTGCCTAGGTATAGGCGCGTAGACGATACCTCGGTCATAGTGACGGCTGTTGCGGTAGAGCTTTATCCTAAAGATAACCTAGTCTGAAGAGAATCGTGAGCAAATGTCCATGAGCAAGCGGGAAGCCATCGAGGGAGCGCGCATGGTGCGTGCCAAAGACGGGTTGCCTCGGTATCAAAGACGCGACGCCAGGAAGCCAGTGTCCAGCGACGTGCGAAACTACAGGAACCAGGGAGATGCGCAAGGGATTTCCAGTGCATACAATACAGGCGGCTAGTCGTACCTTGGAGATAGAGTCGGGCGCTGGAAGCAAGGTGGCCGTGAAGAACCTGAGAGCTTGAGGACCAGGAAGGAGCCGGGTAAGTGCAGAAGTCGCGCAATCGATTCTTGGGCAGAGAATTAGTCGGCCCAGTGTCGCGACAACGGATTGCAAATATAGATGAGGGCCGGAATGCTATTGATGTAATAGGCCCCGGCGAAGTTGATGGGTGGACGGTGACGAAGGGTGGAGAAGGAAGTTCGCCCAACGCCTCACTCGCCCTAGCCTTCCAAGCTTCGGGCACGGACATCACGTGCGTCTTGCCTCCAACGGGGCTGCTCGCCCTCCCGGGGCTACCAGTGAAGTGTAACTATTCTAGACGGATGAATTGTCATTTGTTCGTAGAATTAGCACACACTGGAGTTTATCCAGGCATTGATCGGTTTCCGAACAAGGGGAACAATCTCTCTGTCCAGGCCCTACAAACATCCGAGGTTCACTTGGGCAGCAACAAGTCTAGGGCTGATGCCAATATGTAGTATGTATATATGCGATCCTTCCTAATGTACATATTTGCTGATCGCGTGGACCACGGCTTGGTCCATAGTCTCTATCCCGGTGTCTACATCAAGTAAGTACGTACTTTGGTCCCTCGCCGCCCTGTGGTGTTTGCCAATTGATGTCCTGATCGGGCACTTTGATATCGCAAGTCTTGCAGTGAACGCAGCTGTATGTTGTCAGCAGGCTTTCCAGCGATTCGGTCGGCTAAACTTACTTTTGGGCGTTGATTTGGAACCTGACACCCAGCTCTTTGCTATCGTCCTCGACGTATTCATAGACGCCGGCGGGGCAGAACCTGTTTTCGACACCCTTGTACTTGGGCCATTCCTTCTGAGCATGTGCATCGTAGTCTTTGACTTGAAGATGGCATGGCTGGTCCTCTTCATGGTTTGTGCCACTTCGGCTGACGCTTGTCAATATGTCGAAGCTGATTTTACCGTCTGGCTTGGGATACTCAATCTTCGGGCACTCGTCTGCAGTCTTGGTTGCTGCGTGATCGGGTTTGCCGTGCTTTAACGTCCATGGCGCTTTGCCTCGAAGAACGTATGCTTCAAGGCCAGAATACATAATGCCTCCGTAGATGCCTAGTGGAGTATGGAAAGATGGACGCATGTTGCGCACAGTCTTGAGCTCTGACCATATCGACGACTTGCGCATCTTGTCCTCATAGTCATACAGGAACACGGTACCACCGTCGGTATTAGCTTGTAGGGCATCCCAAGTCGCCTCGGCAGCTAGCATGCCTGACCTCATGGCGTTGTGCGTACCCTTAATTTTCGGTAGATTAAGCAAGCCCGCGGCATCTCCAAGAAGCGCGCCACCAGGGAAGGCGAGCTTAGGTATAGACTGGAAACCGCCTTCAATCAGCGTCCTCGCACCATAAGAGATGCACTTGCCACCCTCTAATACATCCTTGTAATACGGGTGATGCTTCATCTTCTGAAATTCGCCATAGGGCGCCAACCACGGGTTGGGATAGTCGAGTCCAACAACCAGACCAATGCTGACCAGGTTGTCACCAAAGTGGTACATCCAACCACCACCGTAGGTGTCTTTTGGCAGTGGGTAGCCCATGGAGTGAACCACTAACCCAGACTTGAATTTCTCAGGCTGTACCTCCCATACTTCTTTGATGCCAAGTCCGTAGGTTTGGTGTTGACTATCCCGCCTTAGGTCGTACTTCTTGATGATTTGCTTGGACAGACTACCATGGCAACCCTCACCAAGCAGTGTGACGCGTGCATGAAATTCCATTCCTCGTTCGAATGAATCTTTGGCCTTGCCTTCTCGCGATATACCGAGATCGTTGGTAGCCACACCCTGTACGACGCCTTCGTGGTTATATAGTATCTCCGACGCAGCGAATCCAGGGTAAACCTCTACACCAACTTCCTCGGCACGCTCGCCAAGCCACTTGACCATCTGGTTCAAGCTTATTATGTAGTTGCCATGATTGTTCATCTGCGGAGGCTTGGGTAGAGGGATTGCGCTATTTTTGGTCATGAAGTACATGTGGTCCTCCTTGGCGGGGGTGATGTCGGCGAAGCGGTTCAGATTGTCCTCTGACCTCCAGTCGGGCAGGAGTTCGTCGAGCGCAGACGGTTCTATGACATTTCCAGACACGATGTGATCGCCCAATTCACCCGCCTTCTCCAACACCAGAACCCTAAAGTCTTCATTGCCTGCCGCTGTCGCAAGCTGCTTCAGCTTGATGGCTGCAGACAGACCAGCAGGACCTCCGCCTACAATGAGCACATCCACCTCGTCAGACTCGCGTTCTATTGACTTTGGGTCGAATGTGTCGTCCACAGCGGCGAGTCGTGTGCGTGGCGTCGTGGAAAGGCCTCTTCTTTGACCAGCAATTCGGACTGCAGGACGGTACAAGCCGGATACATTGCGTCTCGATAACGGTACGCACGCGAGGGGTCTTGACGATATACGCGCGGATCGGGACGTTGCAAGCAACTGCCGCGTTACGGATGCGGAGACTGATCTGCTGGCCATGGTGTAGGACTTGTTGGGGAGGCAAACAGATGGAATTGAATGCGAAAGTGAACGACTTGACAGATTTTTGCGCTTCCTACAAGACCGACCGGCGGCGCACTACAGGCCAGAACTGACAGTGCTCAATGATGAGGAATGCGACAGAATTGCGGCATTCAACATGTACGCTCGTCGCCAATGCTAAACCTTGATATGACGATGTCTAAAAGTTGCAGCCGAGGCTACAAGGCTAAGTGCGGGATTGCAATACCGAGCACGTCATTGGCCAAACCTTCCTCATCCTTCTCTCCGCACATGTCAAAGTCGCCGCATCCGAACATGTTCATCGTCAAAACCTTCTAGAAACAACATCTCTATGCTGACGAATCTACGCGTCCTATCATGGTTTGACCCTCCGGTACATGTTCCGGCAGCGGAGCGGTGATTAGTTCACAGTAGCAGCAAGGTACTTGCGCGACACCAAGTATTGTATAGCAGAGACGCAAAGCTCTTTCAGATTGAATTGAGCCTGGAACCCTCTTAGAAGCGGGAAGGGCACGTTTTTGCATCTTTGCATGTCCAGCAGTTCCCCCGGAATTTCCAGTGGGCGCGTCGGTGTGCCTGAAACCCGCAGAGATTCAGGCCCATGTTATGCCTGCGAACCTCAGTCATACACCAAACTTATGCGTTTAGGGAAATACCTCTCCGCATATATCGCCCCTGCTCGATCTGCAACATGTTCTCAAACCACACACGTTCGACCCCCAGCCTGGATCTTCGCTATTACGACGACTATGCTGGCATAGAGCTTGCATCAGCTCTCTCTTCCGCGATTGTACTCTCTCCTTCATGCGTTTGATTCGACCGTTTCCAGCCAAGCTACGGACCCGATCGCATGTCAAACTTGATCTACAGCTGTCATGCGAGACGAGGCTTTCGTGCCTGTGAGAGAATTGTGGGGATGGCCGATGTTCTTCCTTTGAGCCTGGTCTCTCCAAGGCATCCTCCAACGGCGCATGTATGATATGCACGGCAGGCAACGAACAGTCATCCCGACAATCGTGACCTGAGCTATTCTAGGCACTACCTCCCTCAGGCACTCGTGAGCTCATATAAGGCAACGCTCTTATATAAACCAGTCTCCTCAGGCGGATAGAACGGCACGCTCAGCTTCAATCTTTCAAATCATTCCTTTGTGCAGAGCACCATCTGTTTATTTCAATTCTCAAGAGCTGTGCTCATTTTAAGTTTCGACACACCTCGTTTCAATCCTTCCAGAGCAAATCCCCACCGTCACTATGAAGACTTCTATCTCCCTCCTCACCCTTCTTTCAGCCTCGTTCGTGGCAGCAGCCCCAGCACCTTTTGTGGGTCAGGGACCTGTAGTCGCGGCTGGTACCGAGAACGTAGTCATTCCTTCTACGAACTTCGGCCGCCGAGAGGAAGACGTTGTACAGAAGTTTGGAGAGAGAGCCCTCAAGCTCCGTGGTGCGCTCTTGGCTGCACGCGGCGGCATGGGCAAGGATAATGGTAATGCGGATGCTGAGGTAGCCAACGCTGAGGGCGCTGCGGCTGCTGGTAACAACGACGCTCAGGATCAGGCGGCACAGGATGCTGCCGCTGCTGAAGATGCCGCTCAGGGCAAGGGCAAGGGGAAAGGGAAGAACGCCGAAAAGCAGGCTGCCGAAGAAGCTGCAGCAGGTATGATTCACGGCTTTCCTATCCACACAGTTTACTGATTCTCATTAGCTAAGGAGCAACAAGCTGCCGCCGATGCTCAGGCACAGCAGGATGCTGCGGCCGCTGGGATGATGAACCAGGGCCAAGCGCAGAATGCAACTGAGCAGATGGGAGCAGCAGACCAAGCTGCCGCCGATCAGCAGGCAAAACAAGACGCTGCTCAACAGGAGGCTGCCGGAGGCATGAACCAAGACCAAGCACAGAACGCCCATGATCAACAGGCAGCGGACCAAGCGGCGGCTGATCAACAGGCACAGCAGGATGCCGCGGCTGGGGGTAAAGACCAGGCACAGGACGGTGCTGCAGCCGATCAAGCAGCGGCTGACCAAAAGGTATGTTTTGAAAATCATATGACGAACCAAGATGACCTACTAACCACGACAGGCTGCTCAGGATGCCAAGCAAAACCAGGATGGAAAACAGCAACAAGATGCAATGGACCAAGCCGCAGCTGATCAGCAAGCCGCTCAGGAGCAAAAGGGTGCTATGGGAGCAGATCAAGCCGCGGCCGACCAGCAGGCTGCCCAGCAACAAGAGGGTGCGATGGGAGCCGATCAGGCAGCTCAGCAAGACCAGGCAAAGCAGCAGCAGCAAGAGCTAGAGCAAGCTGCCGCTGAGCAGGAGGCTGCCCAACAGGAAGCCGACCAGAAGCAAAAGGAAAAGGATCAGGCTCAGTTGGAGGCAGGCCAGGCGCAGATGCAACAGGATGCTGCGAAGGGCAAGGGCAGGGGCCAAGCTGCCGCTGGCCAAGCTGCTGCCGACCAAGCTGCTCAAGCTGGAAGTAGGTGATACATACCGCCATGACCAGTCCCATATGCTAACTACCTTAGATGCGACCGGAGTAGTTGACGCTGGAGCCGCAGCCAACGGCACTGGCAACGCGAACAATGGCAACAACAACGGCAAAGGCAAGGGTAAGGGAAAGGGAGATGGCAAGGGCAAGGGCAAGGGCAAGAACAACGGCAACAACGGCAATAACGGTATCGCACAGCTTCTCCAGGAGGCCGAAGCAGCTCTTCAGGCCGGCGGACAGCAGGGTGGAGCCGGTGGAGCTAGTGCAGCTGGTGGCATCGAAGGTCTTCTCAGCAGCCTCCTTGGCGGTGGTGCTGGAGCTGGAGCTGGAGCTGCTGGAGCCGCTGCTGGTGCTGGCCAACAGAAGGCTGGTGGAATTGCAGGCCTCGACTTGAGCAAGCTTGGCATTGGCCGCCGTGCCTTCCGTGCCTAGAGATGAAGGATGACCAGGAGTATATCGTTGAACGGTAAAATTCCTTCTTTAGTATACCCAAGCTCATGAGGGCCTTTGCTTCTAGATGAAGTAGATATCCGGTAATATCACCTCAGAATAATAATGATGTCCCATAACGTATCTACTTTGCACCTAAGATGACTCGTCCGTATTCCTCGCCCTTCATCCATCCCAACTATTTCTACATGTGCATTTAAGGCTACGGAGCAAAGCGTGTTCTTAGCCGTACGCGCTCGACGCGTGATCGCGTGGTCATGTGAGGCTCGGAGGACTACCCGGGTTATGTGACGTGCTAGTAGCTATGCGTACAATACGATGCAATGCGCATGTTTGGAGTGTCGACACTTGGTCCTTGGGCCTCGCCTTCTGTGTACGAGATCAGTGCTTGTTCAGTTAGGCGTAGACAAGTCGCGTACGATGACGAGCTGCCATTAGCCCTGGGCGAGAGCTAGGTCGAGTGCGTCCATGCAGTCGACAGACGTGCGTCCTAGAATGGATCAATCGTAGTGCGGACGGCGTCTCAGCCAGTCATACTCTGGTCTCCGTCTGCATCCTCTGCTTGAGCGACCGGCCGACCGAGCTCGTTGAGAGAAGCCTTCAGCCGCGCAATACGCGCTTCCAGGTCCTCAATCTCGTCTTCTTGGTCTTCACATGTGCGATCCATGTCCGGCAAGGCTGTGACGGCGCGTCGTGCCTTTTGTATCTTGAGGCGGATGTCATTCGCTGCTGTCGCAACGTGTTGGATCTCGAGGGGCCCCTCTACGGCAAGCTGGGCAGGCGTTGGTGTCGCAGCTGGCGGCTGGGCAGGCGTCTCGAGAATACGCTTGAGCAGCCTGTGGAGGTCAGGGAGCATGTCAAACGTCGAGGGCGCAGGGAGGGTCGGGGTGTTGGTGGTAGGAGGCGGCGGCGGCGGCGCAGGCAGGGCTGGCGTTTGAGAGCCTGTGGGTGCAACTGAGGCTCGCGCTGAGGCAGGCGCATATGGCGTCGCGGCTGCCGACATGGTTGTGGATTACAACGAGTTCCAATTGAAGATGCCTAGCGTCGTGTCTGCGTCGGCCAGCCAGCACGCGTGGACGGGTAGGGCTGAAGGCAGGGTTGCTGATTGGACGGCGATTCTGCAGATGATAATCGCTATGTCTGTCTGATAGGAGTTGTTGGATGTCAAAGCGATGGCCAAATAGCGCGGCTGTTGGGTGCGATTCGAGATAAGTTTCCGGGCGTGGGCTGTGGGGGGATTGTGGATCAGTCGCGGGAAGGTTGTGACGTGAACCGGCGATGCTTTTTTGAAGTTGACCATTTTAGCCCCGCCAACCCTGCCCCTCCGTCAACAAGTTGCTCCCTACGCTCTTCTCACTAGCCTTCCAAACCTCGCCGCTCGAGTGAATCCTCGAGTTTTTTTTTTCTTTCCTCTTCCTTATTCCTAAAATCACCTGACCGACTCGCAATCATGGCCAAGGTCGACCAGAAGACGGTCCTCATCGTTATCGACGGCTGGGGCGTTGCGACGGAGAAGTCGCGCAAAGATGGCGATGCTATCCTCGCAGCCGACACGCCTACTATGGACGAGTTCGCCAAGGACGGCTCCAAAACCGCACAGGGCTACACCGAACTGGAAGCATCGTCTCTCGCCGTCGGACTTCCCGAAGGCCTGATGGGTAATAGCGAAGTCGGCCACTTGAACATCGGTGCAGGACGCGTCGTATGGCAAGATTCCGTCCGAATTGGACAAACCATCAAGAATGGAAAGTTGAAGGACGTGGACAATGTCAAGAAGGCATTCCAGCGTGCCATTGACGGTAACGGAAGGCTGCACTTCTGCGGTCTGGTTTCCGACGGCGGTGTCCACTCCCACATGGACCATTTGATTGCGCTCCTCAAGGTTGCGAAGGACCAGGGCGTCAAGGAGGCCTACATCCACTTCTTCGGAGACGGCCGAGACACCGACCCCAAGTCCGCGGTTGGATACATGGAGACTTTGCTGAAGGCTACCAAGGAAATCGGCCTCGGCGACATCGCAACAGTCGTCGGACGATACTACATCATGGACCGCGACAAGAGGTGGGACCGTGTCGAGCTTGGTATGAAGGGTCTAGTCACTGGAGAGGGTGAGGAGAGCAATGACCCAGTCGCAACCATCAAGGAGCGATACGCAAAAGACGAGAACGACGAGTTCCTCAAGCCCATCATTGTGGGAGGAAAGGAGCGAAGGATACAAGGTATACTAACATGCTGAGCACCTGCATGTCTACTTGCTGATTCGTCCAGACAACGACACCGTCTTCTTCTTCAACTACCGTTCCGACCGTGTTCGAGAAATCACTCAGCTCTTGGGCGATGTCGACCGTTCGCCCAAGCCCGACTTCCCATACCCGCAAAACATTCACCTCACCACCATGACTTCGTACAACCCCAAATACACTTTCAACGTTGCTTTCGAGCCTCAGCGCATGACAGACGTTCTTGCCGAGACACTAGGAAAGCAGGGCGTCAAGCAGTGTCACGTTGCTGAGACTGAAAAGTATGCCCATGTCACCTTCTTCTTCAACGGCGGTGTCGAGAAGCAGTTCGAGAATGAGGAGCGTGAGATGGTTCCTTCGCCAAAGGTAGCTACTTACGACCTCGAGCCAAAGATGAGCGCCATGGCTGTTGCAGAGAAGCTGTGCGAGCGCATTCAAACCGGCAAGTTCGAGTTCCTCATGAACAACTTTGCGCCACCAGACATGGTTGGCCACACTGGCGTTTACAAGGCAGCCATTGAAGCATGCACAGAGACCGACAAGGCTATCAAGAAGGTCTACGACCAGTGCAAAGAGAGCGGATACGTTCTGTTCGTCACCGCTGACCACGGGTAAGTTCCCATCATCTGCATCTTTTGGGGTAGGGCTGACATTGTGCTAGTAACGCCGAGGAGATGCTCACAGAGGAGGGTACTCCCAAGACTTCCCACACGACTAACAAGGTGCCTTTTGTCATGGCCAACGCGCCCGAAGGTTGGAGCCTGAAGAAGTCTGACGGCGTACTCGGTGACGTTGCGCCTACCCTTCTTGCAACCATGGGTCTTCAGCAGCCTGAAGACATGGATGGCCACAGCTTGCTCGTCAAGTCGTAGAGTTCCATTCGCGATATAGATTGGAGACGACGGTTGCTGGATGCATCGTCCTGACGTTCTTTGCTAGGTCCGTACTGATCTAGACGAGAAGAGCTTTGACCTATAGAAACTCACATAGACGGAAATGAATAAAAAAGCAATGCAATGACGTGCATAGCCTTTGCTCTTGGGAGTTTGTTAGTTCAGGTGTCGCTTGCACACGACTGGCTATACATGTTGCGCTCCATGGATTGATACTGGGATCCTTAATCCCGGCTGAGCGGCTACCATCCCACTATTCTAACACGGGCAATCTTGGCAACAACAGGGGTAAAGTCACCGGCGGGGAATCGTGTGGACCCCTCCTACGCACTCCAAGTCCCGACAGCCTTCTTTTCCTTCCTCCCGTAGCTTCGTCTACTATATCCATAGTGTTTGAGACACAATTCCTTCTTGCCTTCAGCAGGAATACTGGCGTCAATCTCGGCCGGCACCAATACCATCTCACCACGTGCCACCAAGCAGCTCCACGAACCCACTATCGCCGTCGATCAGGAGCCGTCGCAATACTCCCGAGTCTCCACAAACTTTCGCTACTGCTCCGCGATACTCAATCTGTGACACAAGTTGTCATAAGCCCACATCGTGTTGCGTCAACAAGCTCATCTGTCGGTTCTGTGATCTCCGATAGCCAGCCTTAGGCATCGGTGCCCGACTGCGCCCTCCCAAGACTCTTGTAATCGCAACCACCATAAGACATTCCTGCTACAGCACTTCCGGTCACGACGGTTCTCTGGAGGCCTACTTGAGCTTAATAATGGCGACAAGGACTTCGAACGGCGCTTCTGGAGCGCAGGGTACACAGACGGCAGCGCAAGTGCAGCCTTGCAGATACAAGACTGGCAAAACTTTAGGCGCAGGCAGCTACTCTGTAGTGAAGGAGTGCGTACACATTGATACAGGAAGATACTATGCCGCCAAGGTCATCAACAAGCGGCTCATGGCAGGCCGAGAACACATGGTCAGCTTGGTATTAAGCGATGAAGGACGATAAGGCTTACATGTGCCAGGTCAGAAATGAGATTGCCGTGCTTAAGAGAGTATCTATGGGTCACAGAAACATTCTGACACTCGTCGATTACTTCGAAACTATGAACAACCGTACGTTGAAGCCTTGCTTGGGCCAAACATTTCGCTGACATGCATCTCTCTAGTTTACCTTGTCACCGACCTTGCGCTTGGAGGCGAGCTTTTCGACCGCATCTGCCGAAAGGGCAACTATTACGAATCTGACGCTGGTGATCTTATCCGTGCCACGCTTTCTGCTGTCGCATACCTTCACGACCACGGCATCGTACATCGAGACTTGAAGCCTGAGAACCTCCTGTTTCGAACACCAGAAGACAATGCCGATCTGCTGATTGCCGACTTTGGGCTGTCTCGAATTATGGATGAAGAGCAGTTCCACGTCCTGACAACGACATGCGGAACGCCAGGTTACATGGCACCTGAGATCTTCCGCAAAACTGGACACGGCAAACCGGTGTAAGGCACACTGCGCCATCTCACGATTCAGTGCTAACATCTAAACTAGTGACATATGGGCTATCGGCGTTATCACATACTTCCTCCTCTGCGGTTATACTCCGTTCGACCGCGACTCTAACCTCGAAGAGATGCAGGCCATCTTAGTCGCAGACTACTCCTTTACACCCTTGGAGTATTGGAGGGGTGTTTCTCTTACAGCACGCGAGTTCATTCGTCGCTGTTTGACCGTCGACCCTGCAGCGCGCATGACAGCCCATGAAGCCTTGTCTCATCCTTGGATCACGGAGCTTGGCAAGAATAACGCTGATGGTGAAGAGGATCTATTGCCCACGGTCAAGAAGAACTTCAACGCTCGTCGTACCCTGCATGCAGCTATCGATACGATTCGTGCTATCAATCAGCTGAGAGCGGGTGGTGCTGCTGGTATGATGGACGGCCAGCGTTCTGCTGAACCACGGCGAGGTGCCCCTCACGCCAACATTCCTCAGCCAGCTGATGAGCCAGACGACCCCATGGAGATTGACAGTAGAGGAAACGGACACGGTCAGACCGAAGAGATGATACAGGAGCAAGAGCGGAGGATTAGAGAGACCCAGCAAGGCCTGTGGGGTAAGCGATGATGAGCGGCACCCGTCATGTCGACGTCAATTCTCTTCTCAGCACACGTTTTAGAGTGGATACCTTGGACCGTTGGATGTATTTTGTTGCAATTACGCTTCATGCTAACATTAGCGAAAGGCCGAGACTGAAGTACTTTGTTCTGCCCAGTGGTCTCAGATAGCCCATCATACAAGATGGTATCGTTTACAGGAAATCTTATCAATGATGCAGCTTACAGATGCCCAATATGCGTTGTCAGCTAAAGTCTTCACCTCCACTGAAACATTACGCATATCCTGGAAGACCTGGCTAGAATCTTCCCGCCTTGCGGTCGAGAGAGCCATATGAGAACAGTAGGCGAAACACCTAGATACTGTACACCAGGCCCACATCAGCTTTGACCTCATCCCTACATAGCATCTCCCAGCCTCGTTCCCAGTCATCTAGCCCCTCACCCCACTTCAACTCCAACATTCCTACCTCTCTGGCCTGTCTCCAGAACACCTGAAACGCAGCATACACATTATCAAAATACATGCCTCCAGCAGTCTCAATACCCTTTTCTTGCAACAAGCCCGCGTTGACAATGTTCAAGGAAGCTCTGTTAGCGAGCCGTTGCGTGGCCTTTTCCGGATCTTGAGGTGCGACCTCACCACCAACTGTCACTAGTGTAAAAGGGACAGTGGGCGAGAGTGAAGAAAGAGCGGATCGCCATTTCGCGTTTGCTCCAGGTCGGGCGCCAAAATCGAAGAAAACGATACGTTTCGAATTCGAGTTTTTGATCTCCATGGCAGTATCGTCGAAAATGTCATAGGGAACTGCGTTGTCGTACCATCCAGTTCTCCTGATGACCTCAATAGAGGCTGTAGATCCAATGCCGATAATACGAGCAGGTTGGTGCTCAGCGGGTCGACAGTGTCGAAGAACATACGCAAAACAAGATGCCGTCTTACCACTCGCATTTAGCACAACGACTATCGCATCTCTCAAGTCTGCGTCTTCGACGCTCCACTCCCCATTTCCTGTGGGATGTATCCGGCTCGTCTGTTTCCTCATCCCTCCATCTACTTTCTGTGGAGGGAAAACATAATTGCAGAGGTTATGCGCAACTGTGAAAAGACCCATCATCAGCGCACTCCAGCCCAACTCGTCTTTTCGCTCAGTCTGATCAGCCAACTTAGGAAGCGGACCACAAATTCGATACCGGTTATAGATCTTCCACAGATGCTGTCTATGTGCGTCTGTCACAATAACTTGGTCGTCAATCACACTCCCATCCCGTGTATCTTTAGCCTTTTCTACGGTTATATCCTCCCACTCTGTGCTACTGGGAAGATAGCCATACACACTCATTCCTTTCTCAATGCCTTCGACAGTGCTGTCTAGAATCTCGGCATAGCCCCATGCTGCAACGCGGCCGTACCTTGCAGAATCGTCATACGGAGCGGGTGTCGTAGTGGGGAGCGGATACGTAGAGTACCAGCCCATTAGATGGCCGAGGCGTGCGTAGGAGAAATTATTCGTTGTCAGACTGATAATGACGGTACGGAGACGGAGAGAGGAGGGTAGGAGTGGAGTAGAGGGCTTTAGGGTGAGGGGAACGAGGTGATGGGATGTGTAGTTGGCGAGACTAAGGATGTGGGTAGCTGTCTGGGAATGTGGTGACAGAGACATTGAGGGCAATCAGAGGGTGATGATCTAGCTTGCTATACAGGGAATGAAGTGTGGAGAGCACAATCTATGAATGAGCATATATATGAATTCTGCAGCATCATATACTACTGACCCTTGTGTTGGCCAAGATTTGGCTTATCAGTATTGACGCCCATTTTCCTGTGACTCACAGTGGCTGTCTATGTAAAGTATCTCTCGCGAGTGTCAATTTGCTCAACGGCGATGTATATATGATATTCAACCAATTAGAGAGCCCGTATGCTTACGTTTAAGGATGATGCGGGGCTCAAAAAGGGCGTCCTGTTCTAACCAATCTAGGATGAAAGGATTGGTTTGTCCCCCTTCTGATCTTTGTGCTGGAGCCTGGTTCGTTTATACGAAGTTATTGTCCGTCTGCTCTTCCTTTTTGTCATTCTCCGGTTCTCCATCCTTCTTGTCCCCATCGACGACCTTGCCGCCTGATTCCTGTCTGCTCTCGACTAGCGCTTTGATCAAAGCGACTGTAGCTTCCCATCCTTCTTTTAGCTTATCCTCACTGCTGCTCAAGTCAGGGACATGTAGGAAAATGACGGGTCTCTCATCCTCCTTGATATTAAAATAATGCGCCAAGCTGTTGTAGTAGATGAAGCCGCACAAGAAGTTTCCGGCATCGGTGCTGATGCGCACGTCAGTGCATCCTTCATTGTTTTTAGTGCCGTTGGCAGATGTGTTTCCCAAGTTCGCTTTCCAGCGCGCAAGGACGTCAGATGTATCGAAGCTAGTCTTTAATTTATGTGGGTATCTTGAAGATGGGAAATGCTCCTCTGCTGCAGAGTCTTCGAACCGTTGGCCGTCTACGTCCGGAATCTTCCCGTACCCATGACTGTGGGATCCTTGCTCGATGGCGAAGTAGTTTCGTCCGGCTGCTAGACCGATGTGCAGCACAATATCTGGGGAGGGATAGAGAGGATTGGCTGGTGGAAGAAGCTGGGGAACGAGATTGACGACAGTGTTATATGCTACGCGGATAGGCTCATGATGAACGTGTATGTTGATCGGAGTTTGGTTGTTGGATGACTTTGGTAACAGAGCTGGAAGTGTAGAAGCGATATCCCAGGAAGAGTTCTTGGGTACTTTCGCTAAAAATGGCTGGATACATGTTAGTCTGTCAAATGATCGCATCCAATGTGCCTGATTAGAAGCACAATAGGAGATGTGAGCCGGATTACAGAGCATTGGAGAAAACACAGGGGATTGGAGGGAAGTATCGACATACACCAAATCCAGTGACCAGTACGGTTACTGGTTTCTCTCCCTCTTCGTTTGGAGGCTGCAAAGCAGCATAGCTTGATGGCGGCATTGATGATCTGACTTAACCGATGATAGACTTGAGAAACGAGATGAACCCGACAGAAGAGACTACCGTAGTGTTAGCACATGCAGCGGAAATTCCCGTGTGAAGTGTTTGAGAACGGTATTGCGTGTAATGATGATATGCAGCTGCGAAAGAGCGAGCTGATGACGGCATGACGAGGCTGGGAAAAGGTCACGTATTTATGATAGAGCTCAACAACAATACACGTCTTTGAACTACCTCGCATCCATGGGAACAGCAACACTTACAGCTACAGAGATATGTCAAATGAGTCGAGGATACACGATGATCACTGCCTGCGTTACCAAAAGTATTGCGGTCAGGTCGTGGATGTAATTCGGCACTCGGCTAGGTTTAGCGCCTGATAGAGGAGGTCCCTGGTGACATATGCGCAATGCCTCAACCGCCGACTTCATTCCCGAACAGTCGTCTACCCCACACATATACACAAATGCCCCACTTCGCGGCGAGTTATCCCATACCGCCTGGCGCTTTTCTTCTCGGATGAGCTCTTGTCCAGCATGCTCAGTATCGGGTAGTGCACTCGTCCAAATGATGCACACGCCGTTGCGTACCAATATGCGGGTGTCGTGTTATTCTGGGTACTGCAGGACCACTGCATAAGTACGCAGTAGATGACGTCTAGCGAGCTGTCGTCCCACGCGCCACCGAAGTGCATATTGGTAAAGATCAAAGTGAGTACGCAAAGCCGCGACCGGCAATGGTTTTGCTCTTCCATTGCAGACGCAGTAGCTAACACCAAATATTGAAGACATCTCCTTCGGTCTCAAGCTCAACCAGATGGCTCCAACAAGCTCGTCTTCGAAACCCTACTCCCTCGCTATAGTAGGCGGTGGAATATCCGGCCTCTGCCTTGCAATAGCCCTCGTCCAATTCGATGTCCCTGTCACCATTTATGAAGCCGCACCGCACTTTGGTGAAATCGGGGCTGGGGTCGCATTCGGTCCCAATGCTGGACGTGCGATGGAGTTCTTGTCCCCAAAGATATACCAGGCCTTTTTGAAATGCAAGACAGGGAACGCAGACAACTCCAAGATGGATTCCTGGTTCACAATCCGGGTGGGAGACGCTAGGAGAGAGGACAAGGAGGGATATGTGAGAGAGGGCAAGAAAGTCGGCGATGCACTTTTCGAGGTGCCCATGCATTCGAGCGGTGGGCGCGGCGGTGTATACAGAGCACACTTCTTGGACGAACTTGTCAAAGACGTACCCGATGGTGTTGCCAAGTTCGACAAGAGGCTTGTGGAGATGAATGAAGCTCAAGATGGCTCTGGGGATATTGTGCTTAAGTTCGCTGATGGCTCGACCGCACAGCACGGCGCTGTGATTGGTTGCGACGGCATAAAGTCCTTGACGAGGAAGTGGTTAGTTGGAAGAGACAATCCCGCGTCCAAGGCTGTCTTTTCTGGAAAGTATGCCTATAGAGGGCTGATACCCATGGATAAGGCCGTCGAGCTTTTGGGTGATGATGTAGCGCGGAACAGCCAGATGTATCTTGGCTATCATGGCCACTTGCTCACGTTTCCAATTGAGCATGGGAAGACGATGAATGGTAAGGTCAGCCATCGTCTAGAGAGGATGTTTGCTAACTGTTGCAGTGGTGGCATTTAGCTCTCGCGATACCTGGGACGATGAGAAATGGGTCGTGACTACATCGAAGGAGGAGATGGAGGCAGACTTTAAAGAGTGGGGTCCACATGTTCAAAAGATTGTCGGGGCAATGCAGAAGCCAGATATCTGGGCGCTCTTCCAGCATCCACCCTGCGACACCTATACCAAAGGCCGTGTCTGTCTACTGGGAGACGCAGCGCATGCGACCACACCCCATCAAGGGGCAGGCGCTGGCCAGTGTATAGAAGACTCTTATATCCTCGCTAATCTAGTCAAGGACGCGAATAACGTTGACGAGTTGCAGCGAGCCTTTAGTGCGTTCGACCAGGTCAGACGAGAGAGGACACAGAAGATTGTGAAAACGAGTTACGAAGCTGGCAAGTTGTACGATTTCGAGCTGTTCGGAGATGACCTTGATAAAATCGAGGACAACTATATGCACAGGATGAGATGGATTTGGGATGTTGACCTGAAAGCACAATTGGAGCAGGCGCAGAAGATCATGAAGCAGCAGACGTGATGGATGGTTCTGAACTCGTACTTTGGATGACATACACGTCAGCCACCAACGAAGCTTCTTGCCTAATCCATAACATCATCTCTCAGAGAGAAGATTTGCCTCAGCACTTCATCCGTTTTCGCACCGATTCCATTGTGGTACATCGTGTTCGTAATGAAAGTCTTGCACCCCCTGATAGAATTTGCTGTCTCCATGCTCAGATTAAGGTCAACATACATGTCGTCAATATAGACTGCAGCATAAGTAGGCACCTCGTTCTTCTTCAGCTGTTCTTTGTCGTACAGGCGCGGCCAGTCTTTCTCTTCGGCCAGAAGGTTGCCAACAGTCTTGAGCTTGGCGAGCTCTGGGTAAACATCGAACATGAAGGGATAGATCATCTCGCCTGTAAAGTAGACAGGCTCGTCACCATACACACGCGAGAGCGAGAACTCGGGGTATTTGGAAATGAGACGCTCAGCAGACCAATTCGACGCCTTCCCTTGACAATAGATTGGCTCATGGAGAAGTGCATAGATGACGTTCGTGTCCCAGCTCTGTGCTGCCTCTAGCGCGAGAACAGTAGGTCGTGTCAGATGTCCAAATTGGGTCAGATCAGTATCGGCGCGGAGAACAAATTCGTGGACATCATCAAAACCTCCATGTTTACCGAAGTAAATTCCAAGCTGCAGGAAGCGACGTGCAGAAAGGAAGCCTTCGCCACCTTGGACGCGCACAGTCGTGTCGCCGAAACGAGAGAGGAGTTTGACAATGCGTTTAACGCGATCAACGTCTTCAGGATACTTTGCGTAATACCCTTCGTTCCTGCTCTTGACACGTGCGTATAGACGCTCGTAAACTTCATCTGGGTCATCTCTTAGTGGTGGCAAGCCGCCGAAAAGAAATGCTTCTTTGACTCCTTCGGAGTAGTGAGACAAGTAAGTCAAGCAACAGAATCCTCCAAAGCTCTGTCCCATGATGCTCCATTTCTTTTTCTCTTCGGGGTAATTCTCGGTCAATGCTTTTCTTACGGCCTCGCAGTCCTTGACAATACTATCAGCCCTGAAGCTCTTCATATAATCTGCCTGCACCTTCTCGTCACCCCTCAACTGTAAACTCGACTGGCTTATTGCGGTTGAAAGGCCAGTTCCACGTTGGTCTAGCATGAGCACTCGGTAACCTTTATCGAGAATTGTTTGAGTCCATGAGACTTTTTCGGGGCTTCGGCACTCGAAGCCTGGGCCGCCTTGCAGATATACGAGCCATGGAAGTTGGGTCTTGGATGGCTCGAGATGTGACCTTGAAGTGTAGTCTGCGGGCTTCTCGGCTTTCAGAGCAGAGCGTGCGAAGAGCTGGATTGTTCCTGCCGAAGGATTGCCTAGAGAGGAAGGAAGTGTCAGCACGATGATATTATCTTATATAGCTATTGAGCTCGTAGTCATGCTCTGTGTTATGACTTTGAAATAGCAAACGACGTTTTGAAAATGGGTTTTGCAACGTACAATAGTCACGAGGTACTTCGAAGAAGTGTTCCGTAATTCGTAGCTTGCCTGACTATGATTAGTTCGGAGATCTGGCCGAGTGTGCAAGGTCAGTATGATACCAGGAACTACGTGACTCTTCTGCCCGAGGATCTTTGCCGCTTGTATCATTTTCGTCATTGTGTGTAGTAGTAGATGTAAGGCGGGGAGTGAATGTATGGTTGCTATCGATAAGGAAGCCCACACCGTAGCGCCTGCTCCGAAGGATTTACGATACTGAACAGGCTGCACGCGACAATTCGCACTTACACTTGCAAAGACGTGCTTATTTATTAGGTGTATTAGACTTGGACACTTGATCGCAATCACTTCCGGTGTTTGCAAAGTCGGAAGCAAGGTGCTGTACAGTCAACTCCAGCGTTGGGAAATTTTCCAATTGAGGGGCAAAACGCGGAGAACTTTCTATCGGCAGACCGAACAGTTGCCACACATACAGCGTTTTGGGACTGCATTGATTCAGGCCCCAGGTTGAGAAATGGCTAAGGACAAGAAGAAGGCGGCAGCGGGAGGCAAAGCCGCAGCTAAAGCAGCAAAGGCAGCCAAGCAAGAGAAGAAAGCAGGCAAAAAAGACAAGAAGGTCGCCTCGAAGACACAGGAGATCGACTCCGACGCAGAGGATGTCGACCTAGATGCCATCTTAGCACAGTACGCGAAAGAGCAGGAACAACATCATGCGATAACGGAAATACCCGCTGAGCCGCCCTCTGCCCGGACTTCAAGCACCCTCATTGCAAATCCAGCAAACGAAAATGAGATCTTCTTGTTCGGAGGCGAGTACTTCAACGGAGCGACCGCGAAGTTCTTCAACGATCTCATGATCTACAACGTCAAACAAGATTCCTGGAAACAAGTCACAAGTCCGAACTCGCCACTGCCTCGATCTGGGCATGCCTGGTGCCGGGCGGCAAACACGAAAGAAATCTTTCTATTCGGCGGCGAGTTTAGTTCTCCGAAGCAAGGGACGTTCTATCACTACAATGACTTTTGGAAGCTCGATCCAGTCACTAGAGAATGGACGCGCATGGAGGGGAAGAGCAAGACAGCCGCTCCGCCAGCGCGAAGCGGACATCGCATGGTTGGTTTCAAACAATATATCATCCTTTTTGGAGGTTTCCAAGATACATCTGCTACCACAAAATATCTTAACGATCTTTGGATTTACGACTGCGTCAACTTTTCGTGGCATACACCAAAGCTCCAAGCAGCCCGCGCAGTACCCGACGCGCGATCGAGCTTTAGTCTGCTGCCACATGAGCAAGGTGCAGTCATCTATGGTGGATACTCTCGCGTCAAGACTCAGGCTGGTGGCAAGCAACAGCAGCAAGGAAAGGGTAAGAAGCCTAGCAGTGGTGGCCCTGCGTCGCGCATGGTATTGAAGCCGAAGGTTCACGATGATACCTGGTTCATACGCATCACACCTCCGCCTGCCGATCAGCCATCGACAACGCTTCCAACTGTATCGTGGGAGAAGCGAAAGAAACCAGCGAATGCACCGAACCCGCCGCGCGCGGGTGCAACAATGGCTTACCACAAGGGTCGAGGTGTTCTCTTCGGTGGCGTGCATGATGTGGAGGAAAGCGAAGAGGGCATTGATTCCGAGTTTTTCAACCAGCTGTTCATTTGGAACGTTGAGCGTAATCGTTACATGCCACTTACTCTGCGTCGACCAAAATTGAACGCGAACAAGAAGGCTGCCCAACAGGCAAATATCAATCGCCGAGATCGTGGCAAGGCCGCAGAGGAGGAGCTACTAGCCAATCTTAAAGCTCTCGAGATGAAGGCCGGTGTTTCTACGGATGCAGACTCGGATGACGAAGCTAAGAAACCCAAAGAAGAGGAAGAGGAGGAAGAAGCGAGACCAGAAAAGCCAAAGATTTTTGAATACCCACACCCAAGATTCAATGCCGCGCTTACGGTACAGGCCGATACACTCTACATCTACGGGGGTACCTTTGAGAAAGGCGATCGCGAGTTCACCTTTGACGAACTCTGGTCTGTCAACCTCAATCATCTGGACGGCGTGACTGAGATTTTCAAGCGTGACCTTGAAGACTGGCAAGGCAGCGAAGATGAAGCAGACTCAGATGACGAAGACGAGGAGGATTCTGAAGACGAGGAAGGCGACGAGGATGACAAGTCTGAATCGACAGCTCCAACGAGCGTTTCAGAGTCCCCTGCCGTTGCTCCTATTCACTCCGAAGATCTTGGACCTCAAGAAGAGATTTCTGCACTTACCGATACTCTTCCGCACCCACGTCCATTTGAATCTTTACGGGATTTCTACGCCCGTACGTCGGAACAGTGGCAAAATATTATTTTGGAGGAATTGGAGAAGAAGGGCAAGATCGCGGAGAAGAGCCCAAAGGAAATCAAGAAACTGGGTTTCGATAGGTCAGAGGAGAAATGGTGGGATTGTAGGGAAGAGATTCGTGCGCTGGAAGATGAGCAGGAAGCAGCAGGTATTGGTGAGGTTGTCAGTCTGGCAGACAAAGAAGGTGCTGGAGTGGGAAGGAGGAGGTGATAGGTGTGCGTTGAGCTTGCCCAGACTTAGAGGCATATAAGCTGTATATGTACACATATTACGTGAGAACAAAAGTTTGGCAAATAACAACAAAAGATGAGATCAGAAACGCAGCAAACGACCATGTTACTGCTCAGTCTACATGATGGCTTCAACCACTTCTGACACCCAATCTAACTGAACTGCACTGACGCCCCTAGCCCAGGCCTTGCCTGTGAACACAAACTCATTGAAGACAATAGCTTCCACTTTCTTTCCAAAGAGCACCGAACTAGGGTGAATCGCTACAGTTTGGTTGCCTATCAACGTCTTGTAGCTGCCATCCGGCATCAATCTCGCCGTATTGGAGATGAATCCCCGTAGCATACATGCGAGTATGGCCTGACTCCTAGCTTCCGAGGGCGCACTTTCGGACTCCCCGTCGTCGGCAGAAAGTAGTTTTTGTTGTGTGCACTGCTGTCTTAATTGTTTCCTGATGTTCATCACATTCTCCATGGCACGGTGAGATACGTAGTGCTTGTCGCACCAGGCTTTGCGTTGTGACTTTTGTTCAGCAGCGTATCGTTGCACAGCCATGAGAAGTGTTAGGTGATCACCTTCTCGACGATACAGCTCACGTCTAGCTTCTTCTGCTTCTTCTTTGCGCTCCTCAGTCACAAGGTTCAGGAAGACGTTCTCGACGCTGAGTGCGGATATAACATCGACCACGTCGAGCAGGCAGTCCCGCTCTGGTTTCGCTGCCTCAACTAGTACTCGTCCGAGTGTAGGTGTGAGTGGGAACTTCGCAATTTTGAGACCAGTGTCGCTGATCCCACCAGTCTCGGTGAGTGCTTGTAGGTTTAAGAGCTGTAAGAGAGCTTTCTCCAGGGCTTCTCGCGGTGGCCGATCGAGGAATGGGAAACTGAGTACATCGTCGACACCTCGCGCCTTCATTGTCAAGATTGCCTGACTAAGGTCGCAACGCAGGATCTCGGGCGTTGTGCGTTCTTCCATAGTATTGTATCCGCTTTCAGTGTACAGCCGATAACATTGACCAGGTGCTTCACGACCAGCTCGACCTTTGCGTTGGATAGCTGCAGACTTGGAAATTGGTTTCACAAGTAGCGATTCGAGACCCAAGCGATTCCGGAATTGCTTTATCTTTGACTTGCCACAGTCTATCACGAAACGAACACCAGGGACAGTAACTGATGTTTCGGCGATGTTAGTTGCAAGGATAACGCGCCGCGTGCGATAGGGTGTTGGCTGGAAGATGCGTTGCTGGGCGTGTTGTGGAAGAGCGGCGAAAAGAGGCAGCGCAAGAAGCTTGGGAACCTCGTCATCCATACCTTCAGCGTAGTCGTTTATAAGCTTCTCGAGCCCCTCGATGGTGTCTTGACCTGTCAGAAACACAAGAATGTCACCTGGCAAAGGTTCCTTGTAATGTATCTGGAAGACAAGCTTTAGGGCTGCTTCGACCCAATCCTGCGTTGGCTGTTGGAGATACACTGTCTTGACTGGATATTGGCGACCTTCCACATAACAGGTCGAGATGTTGCTTCTGTTTTCTTTCGCAGCCTTCGCGATCGTCTTCTCCGTGTTCGACACAGGCTGGCTGTTTCCAAAGAACTTAACAAGGCCCTCTACGTCTGCTGTAGCACTCATTACTACGACCTTGAGAAGATGCTTTCTTGTTGTACCACCCTCTTTAGCGGCCACCAGATTTCTGAGAAACCCAAGTATCAAGTCGACGTTGACACTTCGCTCATGAACCTCGTCTACGACTATCGCGCTGTACTGCAACATGTTTGGATCTCTGAGCATTTCTTGAAGTAGCATACCCTCTGTCAAAAACTTAACTTTGGTGTGTTTTCCCGCAGCTGTATCGAAGCGGACGCTGTATCCCACCTTTGCCGTAGGGCCTTTGTCACCAAGTAAGCTACCCATCTCATCGGCCACACGACGTGCCAGCGAGATCGCGGCTACTCTTCGAGGTTGCGTGATTGCTATGCATCCGGTACACCAGGACTCATTGGCCAAAAACTGGGGCACTTGTGTTGATTTACCAGAGCCAGTTTCTCCAGTTAATACCAGGACGTTATTTCTCTGAAGAGCTGCCCTGATGGCGTCCGCTTGTGGCCAGATCGGAAGCGACTTACGGACTTGCCGTAGCTCATCACGCTTTTGAATCACGTGAGATGGTACTCTAAGGTCCTGTTGAAGTTTTCGGGCATTGTCGTGTTGCTTGTTCTTCGGCCGTGTTTGTTGATCGGGCTTTTGCTGGGGTTTGCTGGGTTGCGTCGCTTTCGAATCTGTCTTGGTAATTTCACCGGCTTGCGCAATGCGTTCCGGAGTAGGTTTGAGAATCTCATCCTCAGAGTCATCGAACTTCAATATCTGCCCAGCTCCCTTCTTGCCGCTCCAGCCATCTTTCGCCGGCTGAGCTCTCTTTCTCTTCTTTCCTTTCTTCAATTCTACTGCTTGGTCTTCCTTCTGCTCCACCTTCAATTCATCGCTCTTTTCCTCAGACATCTTTGTTCCTGCAACTGAACAGACCGTGTGAAAATCTCGAGTATGTATGCTTGCGACGGGATACGCGTTGCGTGTCGCCAATTTTTTTCGAACTTCTAGAAACCCTTATCGATAAGAACGCGTATTCGAATAAAGCTAGTGCGAACAGGGATTCATCTCCACCTCCGCCCCCACCCCACATTCTTAGTTGCTCGTCCGTCGCATCCTTTGTCTTTTCATGACGCCGAAGAGGGCCCAGTCGTGTACAATGTACGGTCCCGTGGCATCGGGCTATCTCAGCCCGATGCCATACGCTATATGGTTGACCCCGCCGATGGCAATGATCAACTAAAGATGATCAACCGGGAAATTAGCCTGCATCACGGAGGATGCCGTCATAAGCTCTATAAAGATGAACGGACAGCACCTGGTATGAACGAATCACGAAGCCAACGTGTTACAATACAGCTGAAGATGTGGGCCGGGGCCTTTTGTTTGCTCTCTCTTGCGTCGTTGGGCGTGGAGAGCAAGATCAATCGTAAATCTATTGTCCAGCAGTATAACCTCAAAATTAATCAATCGAACCCATACAGTCCTGTCCAAGTTGGCAACGGAAACTTTGCGTTTGGTGTTGACGTTACCGGACTGCAGACCTTCCTTCCACATAATACCCTGTCATCATGGGGATGGCACAACTCAACAACAAATCAAACTCCGGCGGACTATACCGGCGTTGACTGGTGGACTCATGGTCGTCTCGTCAACTATGCGCAACCCAATCCTGAAGAAATAGACATCAGTCAATGGATGATTGCGAACCCACACCGAATCAATCTGGGAAGAGTCGGACTGTGGTTCGGCGGTATTGCCGGAGGCAATGTCACCGAAGAACTACTCAATGGCAGAGAGCAGGTGCTGGACCTCTGGGAAGGTGTCATCAGCTCAACTTTCTCCATTCATGGATCAGAGGTTCGGGTGACAACTGTTGCCAGTCCAGAGACAGATACTGTGGCCGTGGAGATATCGTCTAGTCTAGTAAGGACAGCGGGATTGGGTGTCTTCTTTGACTTTCCTTATGCGACTGGGAAGAACAAGTTCGACGCGCCATTTGTTGGTCTTTTCAACGCGACTTCAAATCACACCACCACAGATGAGTACAGGAACAGAGGTGCGACAATCACTCACACTTTGGATGCAACAACATATGTAGCGGACATTGCCTGGGAAGGGTACGCTCGGCTTTCACGCCTACACAGTGATGAGCACAAGTATATTCTAGCTGCCAGCCAGAATTCCGAGCAGCTTTCTTTCACTGTTACATACGCTCCTCGCGTGGTCAATATGCCTTGTACACCTGAGACGGTTAAGCAAAAGGCTCAGACATGGTGGGCAAACTACTGGTCGACTGGCGCATTCTTGTCACTTCCTTCCGCTAGCAACTCTTCAGCTGATGAGTTGCAGCGCCGCACAGTCCTCTCACAGTACCTCTTGGCTGTCAACGGGGCTGGCAAAGATCCGGCGCAAGAGTCCGGCTTGGTGAACAATGGCTGGTACGGTAAGTTTCACATGGAAATGGTGTTTTGGCATCTGGCTCACTGGATGTTTTGGGATAAATGGGACCTCTACGACCGTAGCATCGGCGTTTACAAGCGCTTCCTACCCAGCAGTCTCGACAGGGCAGAAAAGCAAGGATACGAAGGCGCACGCATCGGCAAGATGAGCGATCCAAGCGGTCGGTCTGCGCCAGGTGAAATCAACAGCCTGCTCATCTGGCAACAACCGCATCCGATGTACTTTGCCGAAATGGAATATCGATCTTTCCCAAACGTGAAGACTCTTGAAAAATGGAACGATATCCTCATAGGCGTGGCAGACTTCATGGCCAGCTATGCCTTCTGGAACTCAACGACGAACCGTTACGATCTTGGGCCTCCAATGTACCCAGTCTCTGAGAACACTAAACCCAACGACACCATCAACCCCACCTTCGAGCTGGCATACTGGCGCTTCGGTCTCGACGTGGCATCCAAATGGCAAGTACGACAAAACAAGTCTGTTCCAGAGTCTTGGATACACGTACATGATAACCTCGCGCCTTTTCCCACTGAAGAAGATGCATATGTAACATACGAGGGAATACCGGACATGTGGACTACACCAGAGTATACAGAAGACCATCCTGGTATACTAGGTATCTACGGTAAAGACTCCCATATACGAACTGCGTGTGAAGCATAGGCTGACTTCGTACACGCAAACTTTAGGCTGGTTACCTCCAGACTCCCGCGTTAACACGACTGTATTCAACAACACTGTTGCCAAGGTACACGAGACCTGGAACTTTCCCTTCTCGTACGGCTGGGACTTCCCATTGTTGGCCATCACGGAGGCGAGGCGGGGTGATGCAGAACGAGCGGTTAGTCAGTTGCTTGATGTGAACAATGCTTTTGATGAGGTGGGTATGCCGGAGGGTGGAACGAGGGTACCTACGCCGTACTTTCCGAGTGCGGCAGGCCTATTGCTCGCTGTTGGTATGATGTGTGGTGGTTGGGATGGGTATGAGGGTCCGATTTGGCCGTCACACTGGGACGTTGAGTGTGAGGGTTTCACGAGAGGTATGTGAGTACATGTATGTTAGAAAATGATACAATATGCTCTCTGTCTCTTCTAGTATTCAAAGTACACTATTCTTTTGCTGATTTCAGCAATGCATCAGTCGCGCTCTCTAGGAGCTCCGTGCAGATTGACTCTTGTGATGGCTTCATCTCCTCGAGGACGTCCGTAAGAACGACATTCTGCTCATCCAACATTGAAACACCCAGCTCCAGTAGTCCTTTTGCATACTTGTTGAAATCTTTCCAAGTATTTATTCTTCTCGTGTCTGCCCATTTCATTTTTTCCCGCCAGAGAAACGGCGATCCACCGAGATACTTATCTCTCGAAACCATGCGGATTGTATGCAGACTGCGTTCTGGTGGCAGCGATTGCACGGTCTGGAATAGACACTCCAGTCTCCGCACCTGATAACCTAGGTTCTGACCAAACAAGGAGGTAAAAATTTGCGTCACTGATATGGGAAGGCCTTCAATGACTTCCGGTATATCAACTTGCTTATATATGTCCAACGATGGTGTGTAGGGAAAAACTGTGAGTTTTGGAGCAGTGCTGTCAACGCTTACTGTTTTCAAACCAGCGCCATGTCTTGCCATGAAGGCTGCCAGAAGACGCTTGTGGCGCATTGCGTACGAACGGCGTTCAGGTGGTTTCAAGTATGCAAAAGCTGGAAGAACGGGCATATTCCAGTGGGTGAGCCAAGTCAATAATTTGCCAGTAGTCGGTTCCGTGACCAATTCGAGTGAACGTAGATTTGGCAGGTCAAGTGGTTCGATCTCAGTTAAACACGAGTCGGAAACGCTAATGCGAAGCTCTGTCAGAGCCGTGAAATTGTTCAAGAGTAGAAGGCGTTCTGATGTATGGATGTCCGCACCGAAATGCATAACCATTTTTGTAAGCTGTGATCCGTGCGAGCGTGCAATGGATGCCATAGTGTGATAGTTGAGAATGAAGCGGCAACAGAATTCGTGAAGGTTTGTCATATGGCAGACTAGGTCGGACAACGCCGTCTTTCGTAATTTCCTGGATTCCCAGTATTTCGCAGTATTTTCTTCAATACTGAATGAGCGAACCCAGGAAGCTTTAGGAAGACCAGAATCGGCCGTTTGATCTAAGAGCCGGGCTAGGGCTGTGATGTGGTCTGCTTTCATACCATGACTGTCTTGTGGTTCCGGAAGGCTGCCGTTGCGGTCAAGTGCTATATGGCGATACACTGCTGGCTTCATCATGTCCTGTACAATGTCAGGCATATGAACTATGAGATTGATTTGGCGAAAGTAATACCCTCCACGATCTGCATACGCATTGTAGTCTCTGAAGGTCATGCGTTTTTCCTCTGATATAGCAAAGGGAGCGATCAAAAATGTGAGTATCGTATGTGACCACATGGTCGAGTATATCGAGCCACAGCTCGGTCGGCAAAGCAGGCAAGACGTGAGGTTCAGTGGGAGTTTCGTCATGCTGTTTGCTCGTGTCGTCCATGATGTGATGGGTGTGGCTTGGAGAGAAAGAGCGTCAAATTCGGGAATACTCAATTTGGGCGCCCTAAACGCTAGCACTGATCAGGTTAGATGTTTGGATGCAGTTGTTGTAGTGAATTGAAGTGAACGACTGAGGACATATTAGGGCCTCTCTTATTTGTTCTCTTAATTTTACATCATGATATAATACAGAGTCATAATTTGGTTCCTCATGACCATCGAATCTTCATCTTCCATTGATCCAGCTTGGCCTCCCACCACGTCTTTTTGGGCGCCCGCTCAATCTCATCCATTAACCTTGTGTAGTGCTCTGGTGCAGATGTGGGCTTCAGTACACCCGGCGACAGTGCATATTTGGTACTGTATCGGTTCTCCAGCAAGGAAAATAGTGCGTTCACTTGGGCTTGCTCAAGCTTGGGGTTCGCAGGCGGTGAGGATGCAGCTGGTGTTGTAGATGCAGGGGAATGAGGTTTCGCGCCTTGTTCGGGAGGGGGCGTTATGGGTTGCAGGCCGAATGGTTTGCCATGATGTTCGATTGCGCGTGTGAAGGGAAGATTGGGGCGCAAAGCGTCCTTGGGCCAGAGGGCAAGGAGACGGGTGTATTGTTTTGTAATCTGAAGTTGCGTGTCAGCTGACTATGCTGTGATGCATAGCTGTAGACTCACAGTATTTGCCATGGCTGTTGTGTGCGAATAGTCCAAGACAGATGTCGTTCACTTTCTTGGACGATCCAAAAGTCGATGATGCTTCGGTAACCAGGGTCCAGGTGCCGGGTCCGTGCATTATTGGATCGTGGCGCAGCGCCCGTGTCGCATGGCCTAAAGCGACAAAGTCAGGCAACTGCATTTGAAACGCCTCCTCCGCTGCATCTGCCGCCTGACACGCTCCACCACCTGCACTTCCCTATCACAGCCGCCGCCTTTCCCTCGTCCACGCCTGCTGCCCGGCCTATTGCTACCACCATCTCGCCGGTCGACACTGGATAACAAACACAGCATTGCCCCCTTCACGTCACATATCCGCTTATCCGCGCAACATGCCTAGCCAGGGCTACGAGAGGGTACGCTGTCCCAGTCGGTCCCGGGCATCCTGCGCCCGCGCAACCCCCTTGTATTGCCTTCACGACACCCAAACTAATGCATCAACACAGGTAGCCGCCCAGGACGAGGATGAATCTCCCCAGAGGCTGCAGGCTGGTCAGCAGTGGCCGCCTGCATCGCCGCCACCGTCATTCCACTCGCGCGCATCATCACCAAACGGCACATCACGACGTCTGTTATCCGAGGATCCCGCACCAAACGAGGAAGACCGCACACTCGCCGACACGTTCGACTCGGATTCCGACGACGACGACGACGACGACGATAACGATGGGCGCGATGATCGGCAGCGGCTGATGCGGGGAACACCCAGGACAGAAGACGAGCCCGTGGCTCCGGGCATCCAAAGGAGAGTGACGGAACTGCCAGTCTTCAACACACAGGCGCCGAGCAGCGGACGCGTCTATGGCGGAGGCAACGGTGGTGTATGGGCAAATCTGAGCGCAAAGCCGACCAGAGGGGAGGACGCTGAGGAGAAGCCTCCGGTGCGTATTCGACCACACGTGCACCATTTCAAGCCTTACTAACAACCACCAGACCTACGAACAAGCCGCCGCAGATGCCACGCCACCCTACTGGGAAACCACCATCCTCGCTCCCGGCACTTTCGGCGATGAAGTCTTCGTCGAAGGTCTTCCCGTCGGCTCCCTCTTCAGTTTCCTCTGGAACGCTATGATCTCCATGTCCTTCCAACTCGTCGGTTTCCTCCTCACCTATCTGCTCCACACTACCCACGCTGCAAAGAATGGATCCCGCGCTGGTCTCGGTATCACACTCGTACAATTCGGTTTCGGTTTCCGCTCCGCCGTACTTAGTCCCAACAACGGCAGCAATGACAACCCTGGGCAGGGATTCGACGGTGGCGTTCCGAACGACCCAAACGCCCACGACTTTGACCCCAACAAGGTTGGCAGTGGAAGCACGGGTGGCAGTGACATGACACCCGCCGCGAGTGCCATTACAGGCAGTGACTGGATAGCATACGGACTGATGATTGTCGGCTGGTTCATCCTGATCAAGAGTGTGTCCGACTTCATCAGAGCAAGGCGGCATGAACAACTCGTTCTCCAGTCTCCAGACCGGGGGTTGGGCGTAGCTGTTGTTGCCGAGGGTGAAAGCCCAGAGCGCAGTGTATGATTTCTTCAACAAGCCTCGGACTGGCATTCTCTTCTCTCTCTTTATAGCGTATTATTTGGTTGCATCTAGGCACGGAGTTCTTCCTTGGTTAAAAACAGATCGAAAGATATAGTTTCGCTGTTGTAGCAGCACATCACTGTACGATTTTCCTTGCTTGTCTACCACATTACTATCTATATTCCGGTCTCCGGGTCTCTTCTATACGAAGTCAATCAACTCGAATCCTCACGTCCCATGTCGATGTTTTCACTTGACTGCTGACGATGATACCACGATAAGGCTCATGATAGATCAGCCATGATAGAGACATGTTGAATTAGTCTATTGGTTATTGTACATGCACAAATTGTGCTGGGTATCTCGAATCTCAAAAACGGCTATTGCCAAATTGCACTGCACCCGTCGATGCGATCAAATCATATGCCTAGTGACATGTTAGCCTACCCTCTCGCTAGGGAGCATGAGTGGAACTTACCATATAGAGCCGGCGCGCATGAACCTTCAAACACGGCAGATTCAGCATGCGATCCAAAAGAGTAGCGATTGGTTACATGACAACGCACTTTTCAGTCGCATACACCTCTCCATACTGGTCCACACCCGCCATCAGCTCATTGTATCGCTGCTTGTTCTTGACTTCTTCTGGGAACCACTTCTTGAGAAAGGCAGCTTGTTCGGTATCCAGGTTGTCTGTGACGGGCCATTAGAAGATTTCTTACGGGTAGAGAATGGAGGAATGCTTACCTGAATTTGCATCGAAAACTGTCTTCTCTCGGCAAAAGGGACAGTTGTACTGCTTGTTGTTCTGCATAACGATCAAGCACCTGATGCAAAAGGTATGATTGCAGCTGAGTTTTACGGGCCGCCACTGGATTTCCATGCACATGGGGCACGAGTAGTCATCTATTTGCGGGACGTGGGAGAGGATCTGTGTGTTGACTTCTGCGCAGACGGCCTTGGCGAGATGTTCTGAGAACTCTGGGTACTCTACTTGACGAGGGAACGTGGACTTTACGCCCAGAGCTGTGCGTTTGTCGAATTCTAGTGCACTGTTAGCCTACCGGGTCGACATTTGAAAGAATCGAAAACATACTTTTGAGAATCTTGATCATGGCATTGTGGTTAATCTCACCGAACCGTAGGCCTTGGAGAATCTCTCGGTTGATGTGCATAAAAGTGTTCAGCGCTTGCAGGTTCTCCTTCTTCTTCAACTGTTCCACCAGACCGGCCTTGGCGATCTTGTTTGAGAAGCCCGCCAATCTTGCCATTGCCTTTTCCGAATCATGGGATTTATGATCAATCTCCGTTGTTCCAAAGAAAATGCCCTCTTCGACGTATATCTGGAAGATCTGACGCCAAGCAGTGAGCATCTTTCTATTGGCTCTTCGGTCGGGGTTGGTCAACTTGGCAACTTGTTTCCCTAGCGCTTCAATCTGAAGGTTCATTCGTTTTTGTTCGCGCTCTTGCAGTTTCTCCAGCCCTGTGACTTCACTTGTAAGCCTGGTGAAGAATTCCGTGTCCGAGGTAATGGGAACCTCGACTGTACGGTAACCCGGTCGGTTGCGAGAGGTGGCTGGATCTACAGAGTTGGCAGATTGCATTGGCGAGCCTGAATCGTCCAAGACGCGCAAATCAGACATGCCAGTTTCAACGGCCAGCATCTGGAGTTTGCGCCTGGTCTCATCATCCAGCTGGGCGCTCAGGACCTCTCCACTTGTCTCGTTTACGTAGAAGAGTAGCTTTGGATGGAAAGCCTTGCGCGACGGCGAGGCATTATCCCTAGAACTGTCGGGGTTGAGGATATACTCGAATGGTCTTTCTTGTTCGTCATCTTCTTGTGTAGAGGCGTTGTAGTCTTCGACATGCTTCAACAATTTGGACAGGGTCGCAGGATCAAGGCCCACTTGCTGCAGCTCGTCGGTAAGCCTCTTAATGCACTTCTTGAGCTGCGAGTAAGAGATGGCGGAATCGACCCACTCTGGCGGGAAGCCCTCATCCCGGAGTGTTTGCTTGAACAGATGGCCGAACTTCATATTTGGGGAAAGGTCGACGAGGAACCGTGGTAAGGCTGGCCGATCAGGAGGCGCAGAGGATGCACGTGGGGAGCTGAGTGGTTGCAACACTTAGCGGGGTACCTTCCACGCTTGTTCCGCCGCAGTTCCGTGGACCAAGCTAACGGAGCCTTCCAGCGATCACCCACGATTGGGATATGCAAATGCGACTGGGTTGGGAGACGATGGAACTTGAAGTTTGTGTTTCGACCTGTGTTGGACGTGTGGGCGGAGGGGAAGTGGTAATGAATGAGGGAATAACGACTTGTCAACAACGGCGATTTGTTTCGCGGGTCATGCGCCTGTCTGCCTGTGAAGGATGCCGCTAAATGGAGACCCCCAGAATTCAATGGAGATAGCCTTGCGCCATTACGAAGACATGGGGAAACGCCTCTTTTATGAATCAAAACAAATGCATGGCTTGTGCCGGCTTTCGGCGTTGTCTAGACTGTGGTGGCTCCAATAGCGCTCTTCCTCAATCACTGTCTGCTCAAACTTTTCGCCTCTACCGTCCGCGACCAATCAACGCCAAGCGCACAGTCATAGGCGATTTGCTTGTCGTGACGCAACATGGTTCTCCGCGACTCACCAGAACACCACCATGTGAATCCCGGGATAGTCTCGGTGTATTGCAGGCCTGTCCGCACGCGCACCGGGAATGCTGTGAAAGCTCATCTACAAAGTTCCACGCCAAGACTCACATACGCCCACACAAATCAACTGCAGCATACAGCCACTGCAAGTAGTTCGAGACCCCAAGAGCTGTAGACTAAGTTCAGGCCATAGTGACTAGCTGCATCGGAGCCGGCAATCAACATGGGTGCATCACAGTCCACTGGTGGCGGGGATGCGGCCAGTGGTGCGGGCGAAGTGAAGACGAGTTACTACGAACTGCTGGGTGTAGAACGCAATGCCACACCAGACGAGTATGTTACAGCGATCAGATAGCCACGACAGTAGTAACACGTCCCAGGCTCAAGAAGGCATATCGAAAGAAAGCGCTCGAACTACACCCCGACCGAAACTATGGTGATGTCGAACGTACCACTGCCCTCTTCGCCGAAGTCCGATCCGCATATGAAGTACTTTCTGACGACCAGGAGCGCGCATGGTATGATGCACACGAAAGGGATATACTGCGGGGTAACACGGGCGAGGATTCTGGCGAACACTACCAGGGTGACATGAAGGTTACGACAGCCGACGACATAACGCAGATGATGGGCAAGTTCAGGGGGAACGTCGACTTTTCAGACTCGCCGAATGGCTTCTTTGGCTTCGTGCGGGAGACATTCGAGCAGCTTGCCCGCGAAGAGGAGTACGCGGCAGACTACGACGATCTCGATGTACCAGATTACCCTACCTTTGGTCACAAGGATGATGACTATGAAGGCGTTGTACGTGACTTCTACTCAGCTTGGAATGGCTTCGCTACAGTGAAGAGCTTTGCATGGCTGGACGAATACAACCCTTCTTTGCAACCTGATCGTCGTTACCGTCGGGCCGCCGAGAAGGAAAACCAAAAGATTCGCGATGAAGGTAGACGAGCTTTTAACGATGCCGTCAGGACGCTGGTTGCGTTCGTACGGAAGCGAGATCCGCGGTACACTCCAAACACACAGACGGCCGAAGACAAGGCCAAGGCACAGCGTGACGCCAGAAAAGCGCAGGCTGCACGCGCAAGGGCCGCGCAGATGGCCAAGATGGAACAAGAGGAGCAAGCAGTGCCGCATTGGGCTACGGCACGTCCGGCCGACGAGGTTGAGGAAGAGAGTGAAGAAGAAGTCGAAGAGGATCTGTACGAATGTGTGGCATGCAATAAGACATTCAAGAGCGAGCGACAATATGACGCCCACGAGAAGAGCAAGAAGCATCAGAAAGCAATCCAGGCTCTCAAGAAAAAGATGCAAAAGGATAATGCCCATCTCGACTTGGACGAGGATGCTCTCAAGAGTGATGAGATCTTACCAGCTGAGAACGAGCTTGCGAAGCATGTCGGTGTCTCAGGCGATGAAGGCTCTGACGTCTCTGTCCAGAATCTTGCAAAGAAGACGACTGAGCTTGATTTAGACGACTCTAGTGCGGACGAGAAAGAGGCGCCCTCAACAAAAGTCGCACCTACTAACACAGTATCTGCATCAGCTACTGGCTCAGAAACCAGCTCAGACGTAGACGATGAATACGCCTCACGCTCCGAAATCGAGGCTCGACTTGTTGGTGCCAGCACAGAACCTTCAACAGCAACAACCGAGGACCTCGAGTTGAAGCTTGGCGATCACACAGAACCAGAAGTCGCTGTCCCTCCAGAACCCAAGCTTAGCAAGGCTGCGCTGAAACGCCTAAAGAAAGCTGCAAAACAGGCTGAGGCTGAGGAGCCCGATGTAAAGAATAAGTGCGCTGGCTGTAGTGCCGGCTTCCCGTCCAAGACACAATTACATCAACATTTGAAGGAGCATCCTAAACATGCGGCGCTTAAATCGGTTCCGAATGGTGGGAAGAAGAACAAGAAGCGGTAGTAGACATAGTCCCTCTTGGTCAGGGGCTTCTACTGTTGATGGTGGAGCACTTAGGCTTTTGCATACCCTCTCCAAAATACTATAAGTCTCATGGACTTGTACGTAGTCAATCAACAACGAAGCCATGAGGCTCACTGTTATTGACAGGGAGTCTATCACTCGTGTCTTTTCAGATATGCACGAATTCCTACAATACTTTGAAAAGGTATGTAGAACGATCGAACCAAAGAAAAGACACACCGAAACATACTTTCAAATTACCTTCTGTTCGAAAGCTCTGGTGATATTTTTGTGGGATTAGGTATGCTGATTACAAGACCGAGTCAAGTCGCCACGTTGAGATGCCGCGGGACTTTCAATGGATGGACATGGATATCGATTACAAATCCTGGTCAAATGTAGATTGTCTCCACAGGCAGTTACAACATGCCTCCTTCGTACAAGATACCAAACCCGCCCATTTGCGGGCAGACCTACATTTTAGACTTGATCCAGGTATCATGATATTAGGCATGGTACTTTGACCAGCAGATGTTATGGTACCCTGCAAGGACAAGCTGAGTAGTTTTGAATACATCGGGTGACTCCCTCATAGAACTTTACAGCAGACCGAGCACCAGAGCCTGGTGGAGTTCGCACAAAGTCTCTTATTGTCAATTGATTTACCAAAAATCGCCAGGGTTAAGACCTCGACACATATTCAGACCCAAAGCAGACATGATGTACCAGTTCTCGCCTAACCAATGCAACTCAACGAGCCTCAACCGACATCCGCACTGATACGATATTTAGTCCGGACCCTCATGAAGTGGTCCGGCATTGTGTCGGTCTCCTTATCTTGCACACCTAGAGCAGCACACCACATACAGCCTGACAAACATGTTCAGTCATGCTCCTGCCGGTACTGAATGGTCGTCCATTACAGGCCTTTAGCCATGGTGGAGCTGGAATCCTCGGCAGCAACACCATTGCAACGCTCCCAGGAAGGTTCGTTTCGATTGGAAGACAACGCTTGTACAGTCTTCGTTCAAGTAATGGCAAGCAATCTAATACAGCTGACTGGGGACGGATTAGATGATAAAACTTGACGAAGGACTTACGTGGCAGGAGTACAGTTGTTGAATGAACAAAAGAACATCACATCCGTCGCAGCAAATAACCTCACCAGCAACACATTCAGACATGGGGACTGGTCCTAAGTGGTCGCCAATGAGTACGGACATGACTGCACGAAGCCTTCTTCACTCCTGGCAAAAGCAACAAGGAAAATATGATCTATGAGAGACAAGAGAATGTAAGCTAAGATTGGCGAGCATTTTGATACATGTACTGAACGACGTGCCGCTATTGAAAGTTGTTTTCGTTATTTAAAAGACGGTCAGAACGCCGCGAATGTTGAGGCGGCCGTGTGTGAGGGTTTAGAAGATTACACCGGGACGCTCCATGAACCATGACATGATACAAGGTCAAGTCCTGTAAACTAGAAAGTTCTTCTACGAAACTAGTGCATATGCATCTCCACGCTCCGCTATATCAGTTAAGCTATGGATAGCAAGCGGGTTTGCACGTATGACCGCATGTGACGGTCAGTTGTCGAGCAATGGTCCGATGTTGTCCTCTGGTGAGCGCAACTGTTGTGTTGAAGCGTTCTCGCCTTGTCGCTTGTATAGGCTAGTTTCGCGTTGTTTTTAGTTCCAAGCGGCTCAACGGTATGCAGGAGAACGCTAATGTTGGACCAACAGAAGTGGCGTATCGACGAATAGCTTCTTGCACTGTTTTGCTTCTCAAGCATCGAAGCGCCATGATCTGATGTTCAATGGCATCGGTGTGTAATGTATCGTGTATGGTCGTGTCTTGGTGTTGCTTCAAGGCAGCTAAATGCGCCGGGACAGAAGGGTGGTCAAGCGCCAGCTTCAGGTCATGCTCTCTTCGTGGTCAGGCAATCTACCAATCTTCTGTGCCGCACTCCGCCCGCCACTCTATCGAACCATGTCGTATTGTTAAATGAAAGAACGCATTCTCAATTTAGATAGAGCTCAGTACCTCGTACACGTAGCTCACGGCTTTTGATGAGAGAGCTGAGGAGTGCGCAATCTTTTTAGACAATCAGGTATCTCAAACAAGTGGTCGCCGACGATAAGATAGAGGGGTATACAGACCCCTAATGCGGCGCAGGGTCTAACGGCTGCTGCGTCTAGGTTGAGGCGCTTGGGTCTTCATGGCATGTTGCTGATCCCACCTTCCGGATTGTGATGATCGCCTCGCAGCACCTCATCACGTCCCTGTACAGTTAGCAGGAGAGATAGAGCTGCAGATGTCAGGGGACAACAAGCCCACCTAAGCTCCCGCGCTAAGACGCGCGTGCTAGTTAAGAGTTCCCCAATTGCATGGCATTGCTTGTCGTTGTTGCATCGGAGACTTCTCCAACACCTCTACTTCGCTCGCGTGCGATTGTATGGTTCCCGGCAGAATGCAATATGGCGGTTTGCACGCGGTGTCTCTAGTGATGCGCGTTAGCGTTCGTGGTAAGAGTCGCTCGCGTGCGTGTGCTCCTGTGAGCTAGCCACAGAGAAAGCTAGCCGAGCCTAAAAGGTCTTAGCGCAAGGGTCTGACTGAAGCTTCAACCCCTGAACGCTCCGGGCAAGCCACTCCTATCCACTCTTTCCTGACACCTCCAGATCCTTTTGATCGTATTCCAAGCCATGCGCTTATCGTGTCCGGCTCCAGCGGCTCTCTGATAGGGCACCAATCGAACTGTCAGCTCTCACTTGCCCAGTCTGTGATGGCGTGAGGATAGCCCAGGGGTTCGCATGGACGCGCATCCGCTACGAATGGTTAGCTTTGCTCAGACGAGGCTTTTTTGAATGGACGCTCGTATCAAATGGGGCACTATCTGACGGGCTCTTTTCTCTTGAGTCTTGTCCATCTCTTGGGGTTCTTGCCTCTCGTCAACTTCGTCCTCCGACATATTGCTTACCCTCAGTCATTCGTTAATACAGTCGCGCGTTGTTCACTCGTTATGCAATCATGATGCCAAAGGCGTACCGTCTTTCTTTCTCGCACCTCGTTTTCTATATCTCTACCTTCGTAATCGCGACGCAATTATGGTCCATATGGGGGCAATCGAAGCACAACTACCTACCTTTCTCCCATCATAGAAATCTTCAGCGAGATTGGGATTTCAATGCCGATGTGCATGCCAACGTGCATACACTTAGTCATGAGCAATGCGACTCTGCATTTCCAAAGCTGTATCACAGTCTGGATCAGGCAGTCAGCTTTCGACAAGGCAGGAAGGTACACGTCCAGGATATCGAGATTGAGGAAGGAAGATGCATGCTTCGGGTTATGATCTATCAGGGCGAGGTACACACATCCATTTGACAATTTGCCACATCATATCTGACACTGTACTCGCAGTTATTCGTTGTCGATGCTGGAAAACCAGAAGAGTGCTACGTGACAAACGGAAACGAGAGAGAACGCATTCTAGGAACTCTGGCACAGATTGACCGAGCCGTCACGACTGCCTCGACATCCGACCCCGCCATCCCCAACGTTGAATTCTCGCTTTCGCTTGACGACCTGCCACGGCGATCGAGGAAACATGGAACATTCTTCGGTTATACACGGAAGGAAGGGCCAGAGTACAAGGACATTTGGATGATGCCAAATTACGCGTACTGGGCTTGGAACTATACGCACGCTCCGAGCTGGAACAGCATCAGGAAGGAGATCGAGCAGAAGGAGACAGAACTTCCGTGGGCGAAGAAGGACCCTAGAGTCGTATGGAGGGGCAAGGTCAAGATGGCGAAGCTTAGGAAGGAGCTGGTCCGGGTCAGCGAAGGCAAAGAGTGGAGCGACATCAAGCCTGTGGTTATCAACAACGCCAGCGATCCGCATACCAAGGACGTTATGAATCTAAGGCAATTCTGCGGGTATGATACAAAGCTACGCAAGACCTACAGAACGATGCTAACCACCTTTCAGGTATAAGTTCACCGTCCAAACTGAAGGCACATCCTACTCCGGCCGCCTAAAGTACCTCCAACTATGTCGCTCGGCCCTCATCACACACCCTCTCGAATGGCAAGAATTCCATACCCATCTCATGAGACTGGCTGGCCCTGAAGTAAATTACATCGAAGCATCCGAGAACTTCGGAAACCTCGAATCGGCCATGGAATACTACCGTGCCCATGACAATGAAGCAGAAGAGATCGCAAAGAACAGCTACGAGACATTTACTAGAAGATATCTGACACCAGCGGCAGTAACTTGCTACTGGAGGCGGTTATTCTGGTCATGGGCAAGTGTACAAGGATATGAGCCACAGTTGTACGTACCTGACAAGGACGGCAATCTGGTCATGAGAGGCACGCCATGGACAGCGTTCGCGGCCAACTGGCCCAAGGATCCCGCAGCCATCCCATGAGCGATGACAAGGTGTGCAAGGAGTGGCGTTGCATGAGCATTGGAGTATTTGGTTTTATATGCTTACGATACCCGCGTTCAAGCGTTTGAATAGACACGCATTATCATCTACGTTTACAGCAGTCATCATAAGCGGGGTTGCTTTTTCTCAGTCTTATTATACATGGCTACGGCAACCATCTGCCCTGCATCGGAAAGCGCAAGCGAGCAATATATATATTCGTAAACCGGCGCATGAGACCACGTCTCCGCATACGCTGACCCTGAGCGCTTGTAATTGACAGTCACATTACAGTCTTGTTCCTGGAAACATTCATGCAAAATGCAAGCTAATATATATTGTACTTTTGTCAATCTAATTTGTTGAACAAGACTGCAAGAGAAATACTCATCATCTATCACAGTGTAGATACGAGCTCCGGTGGAGGAGAGAATGGGTATGAAATGGTTCAATCCGCACCACACGATTCCAATGTCTTTATTAGCTAGCTGAACAGTAATCATGATCTCTTTACTTTCACTGCTTACCTTCTTCCAGGCTTATACTGCAGTTGCTGGCCTGGAACCAGAACGCCTCATTGTCCTCGACACAGGTGTAGGTCACCGCAGCACACCCATCCCTCGATGGCCCACCTCACTTCGGAGTCTGACCACGCGCGGTATGAACGCGACTATTCTTACACAGTTTGGCGCCAACTCGAATGCTACCCAGGCTAGTGAGCCCATCGGTGCATATGCACTTGCATACTCATCGTCGACTTTGTCTCTTTTCTCGGCGACAGGCCAAGGTATAGTTCGCACAGGTACAGACGGTGGTGATGCGGAGACTATCCTGAACGACGACGAAGATCACTATGGGCAAGCTATGAGCATAACGGTCGCAGAGAAAGAACAAAGGATTTACTACGGCAACTCGTTTACAGGGTTAATCAAGAAGGCGAATTTCGATGGATCATTCAACTATTTGGTGTGGAATGTGTCTGAAGGCCTAGACTATTCTATTCCTTCCTACGCCTCAGCCATCTCCTACGCAGGAGGAATCACAGTAGACGAGGACAGAGGCTGGCTGTACTGGAATTCCGTTCGTGGTGTCGATGACGGAAGCATACGACGCGTGCTCATAAGTGGACTTGGGCAAGAGCAAGTTTTAGTCAGTGGAATCAAAACACCAGGCCAAATCCGTGTCGTAAAAGACTCATTATTCTGGATTGAAGGCGGGCGACAGAGTAACTCTCTAACGGCCATTAATTTTCTCGACCGTTATCTGTCCCAGCTACCCTCATCTGTTTCTCCGAATACTCCAATTCCGACAGGTACTCTTATCTCATCAAGCCAGTCGCCCCTATTCTTTGAGAATGATTCTACGGGCGAAAAACAGACTCTTGCTATCACAAGCTTTGCTGCTTATCGCAATAAAGTGGAGCAGAAAGTATGGTTTGTAGTCAATAGCGCCGGCAGAACAGTATTTGGGAAATTGGTCGAGGTTGTGTGGCGAGGAAGCGGAGACGGAAGAGGGCCAGTTTTCGAAGTGTCAAATGGCGATACCGAGGATGTTGGTGTCCTAGTTGGAGTAGAATACGTATAAAACGGACTGAATCAACAATCATTGCGGATCCCACAATGAGGCTTCTAGTGTATGCACATGCTCTTGGCTTGGTTCACAGTGCTAAAGTATGGTACCTATGATATGGCAATGCGATACAACAGGTACACGGGTCTCCGAATACTTCATCGCTTTCACATATGACTAAATGTCTCCGAACCTTTGTTTACAATTGATTGGGTGCTTCTTCGAATTTGACCCTCAACATCCAAGTACCTAGATCTTCGCAACCGCAGCCGGACGTGATATATGACCATAAACCATCAAAATCACGAAATCTCGACCTCAACAGTCCTCACGATACCCTTCTGCGCGGGTAATATGCTATCTTCACTTCCTGCCGCACAACTCACCCGTCCCATGTGCGTTGTATGTGCTACTCCAGCCCCGAGGTATTCCTTGTCGACCGCGCTACCATTGAGTGAACCGTCGTTGCTGCAATTCAAATCCTTCATCGCAAACGAACGTGTACCACTGCGCTCAGCTTGCCTTATGTATCCGTTTGAGGCGTAAGGCCGGGACGGCCCGGTAGTCGGGTGTCGTGATGCATATCGATTGCTTGACGTTAGAGCGCTGACCGTGCCGAGAAAGCTGGCAGCTATGGGTTTCAGAGTAGGTAGACAAGCTGCGATGATTCCAACGTTCATTTCCGTTCTAGATGGTAGGTAGTCAGAATGGGAAACCTTTGGAAGAAGCGATAGTATTGGAGACATACTGTTGCCAGACGTAATACCATGCTCCCTGGCCTAAGAAGTCTTTCTCATCAAAGAAGTGGAACTGGAGGGGTATCTTGTAGGCAGCCACACCGCAGGTACTAATATCGTTAGCCTAGGATACTATAGATGCATCTCCTGAGGTCTTTAGATACGTACAATAGGCCGAGTCCCATGACGATGCATAGTGAGATCTTAGTTCGTAGATCTGTCTGTATCTTCCATATAATGGGCATGGGCGATAGAGCGAGGATGAGATCAGTAGCCAAGTTAAACACTGGCATTCCATGTCAGTTGCGGCTATGCAATGATTCATGACGAGCGTACCGGAGTTGAAGACGCCAGTATTTCGAAAAGTCGTGGTCGAGTAGCAGTTTGCATTTCTGTCATAGTGAGCGTGTTTCGTTCTGACTCGATGCCATAACCGTACCCTATAGGCGGCCGCAAACTGAAGTCCCATGCTGCTTGAATGGGTAAACATTGCAATACCAATGAGAGAACGGATCCAATGGTGAACAGGATTAAAATGACTATGAGAAAGGAAGATTAGCTCACGCCTTCATTTTCGATTTATGGACGCACCTATCATGGCATATAGCGACCATTGCCAATGGCGGCGATGATCCGAGAATCGAAGTAGGAAGCAAGCAATGGATATCTTGATACTAGAATAAGCGACAACAAGTATCCAGGCATACCACCATGATATCTCGAAGAATCTCTTCCGGTGATCAGGCCGTACATAGGTGAAGTACTCAACGTGATGGCCTACTCCAACATGCGTGAGTGCGGCGAAAAAAGAGTAGCATGCTACACTTAAAGCCTGTGGATGGTGTTATCAGCAATCGTCAAAGTGTAGAGCGCTTTTTGCGAGTAGCTCGTTCATTCGAAACACATACCGCTGAAAGCATCATCAACCAATCTGTCAGAACCAAGTCAGTGAATAACTTGCCTAATACTAAACGAACACATACCATCGACGCCGAACACCTTTAGCATAACGACCCTTACGTAAACTCGTAGCAGCACGCATATCATCGCCAATGCAAATAACGTTCCAATCGCAGCCAGCATCTCAGGTGCATAGCTCTCCTCAAGGTACGCCTGCGAAGGGGCGGGCGGGAGCAGTTCGGGTACTTGTTTGGCAGATAAATTGATAGTCATCTTAATCAGAGTGCTGAAAGACGCAGAGTATATCCAACAATGAGACCAACGGAAAAAATGATGAGTCTCTTGTATGTTAAGGGTGGCCCGTTCCAACTAGCGAAGACATACTGCTATGAACGTAGTACCGGTTTGATGGCCAGGGTCACATCATGCAGAATGATTCACAACACAAACCTACTCGGGATGAAGTAGCCTGTTGGTACCTAGCCAGATTAAGTGGTTGTTGTGCCACTTGTGCTTCCAAGCAGCAAATTGTCCCACGTCAGGTTCATACTGTCTGTGCATTTGTTCGCACGTCGAGCCTTAGAAACATGTTGGAAAGTAAGAGCGGGAGGAAAAATGGGGTCGAAGGCGAGATGAACCCACGGTGGAGGTTCAGCCGCGCGAAGACAATATGGAAAGTCCGGAACGCATAGCTTGAATCCTTCGATTGTAGCTCCCGAGGTCATGCATGGGCCCTGACCTCGATCAGAGTAGCTAGCAATTTTGACCTGATTATTATCAACAACTCTCTCCTTGACCGTACCAGTTGCTGACTGTACCAGTTCTTGATCGCATCAGTTCTTGCGCTGCGTTCAATTTACTTGGTACTAATTACCAAATGGTGGGACTCGCATCGGCTGGTAGGGTGCAGGATAGGCTAAACCAATCTCGCTTATGCATATTGCATCCTTACGAGACGCCACGAATGAGTACGCGATAGTGTCTTCCTGCTGGTATGCGGCGCAGTCTGCAAGCCAAGCACAGATATTTCTTCGGCATTGATATTTCCATTTTCCGCTCGCTACAGAGCCAGCCAATCGTACAAAGCCTTCGTGTCAGCAGGGTGCGAGGCCTCGCTTTTTTCGGTTCTCATTCGTGTACGGCAGCTACGCTGCTTCGTCGTGCAGTAATCCATAGATTGATATTTCCATAGCGCAGCAGACTTGCAACACTCGAACTCTTTCTCCCTAGAAGTCTCTCGCTGTAGTGTGCGAAGGCATAGTGTATATATACATCGTCATTTCAATTTTTGGAAGAAAGATAGAGGTAGATGAAGCTCATTCAGCGGGAGTGGCGTGGGAAGGGCTCTTGGCGGCCGGCCCGAGGAACCATAGAATCCCTCGTATAGTAGTGAAGCATACATCATCCTAGCTGCGCGGAAGTTGGCTGTGATACCGGAGAAGCTAATCGGCTATCAAGGGTACCGTGTGATCCATGCGCCCGGTCGCTCGGACTACACAGTATTTCGGGGTTCGTAGAATGTGGAGTATCGAACTAATGCGCAGGCTTGGAAGGATTTAACCTGCATGTACGCGGCAACATACTGTGGTCCTATCCGTGCCACACAGGCTCGAGAACATGAGGACTTTTTAGGGTGAACGCTACACTATGCCCTTCTGGATTCTCATGCCATGTCTATCAGGCGATGACAGGTAGGGCCCCTTTGTGCGTCGGCATTGGTGACCCCAAGGGGTAGTGTTCCGAAGCTTACCTAGGCAAGTTTCTTGGCATTATCAGACTGACATTGCCGTTTTATCTCGTCTGACAACCTATAAGAAGGGATTCAAGACGCAACTCTAGCATAGCCGGCACGACGCTCGTTTCTCATCTGTCTGTTACAGTGGCTATCAATCCTGTCGTTTCGTCCTTCAACTCGGCTTGCCTTTAGACATCTGGTTCGGTATACCATATCGCTCTCAAACCACTCGACATGCGAGGCTCCTTTCAAGCTGCGTTACTATTGCCTTTGGCTCTAGCTAATGCGCTCCCGTACGAGGATAAGCAGTTCGAGAAGAGGAGTTTCGATCGCGTTGATGACATCCTCGCTGGCCTAGGTAGCATTAAGCAGGACCTGATGGCTGGTGGTGCTGCACTCAATCAGCAATTCTACCAAGCTGTTCAACAGCCAGCGCAGTACAAGAAGTGCAACCCCACCAATATTCAAGTCAGGCAGGAATGGTATGTCTCTAAGGTCGTAACGCTTCTCGATCCCCACGCTGACAGTACTGAAGGTCTACCTTCTCCAAGACCGAAAAGAAAGCATACATCAGCGCCGTTCAGTGCCTAGGGAAGCTGCCGTCCAAGACATCAAATGAGACATGCCCTGGCTGTAGATCGAGGTACGACGACTACGTCGCGACCCATATCCAGCAGTCCTTCAATATCCAGTAGATGCCCCTACATTGATGGTATATTAGATACGTACTGACTTCGCATAGCGTTACGGGTAATTTCCTTACCTGGCATCGGTATTTTACTTGGGCGTATGAACAAACTTTGCGTAATGAGTGCGGCTATAAGGGCTCCCAGCCCTACTACAGCTACTCTAGGTGGTATAAAGATCCCGCAAATTCGCCATTACTTGACGGCTCGGACACGTCACTTTCCGGACAGGGTGCCAAGGGTTGCAGCAACCAGGTGAGTTATAACAATGTGGAACACATGCGATCCATGCACTAATTTCGTATCTTAAACTCTGCAGACATTCAGTGGCATCCCGCTAAACAGCGATCCCAAGATAAAGATTCCGCATGGCCCAGGTGGTGGATGTGTAACCTCGGGACCCTTTAAGGATTGGACTGTCAATCTTGGCCCGTTGTTTCCCGCATCGGAATGCGTTGCACTGAATCCCAACCAGGATTTTGGCCCTAGTTATGGCCTGGGCTACAACCCTCGTTGTCTTATGCGCGACATTACCAGCTTCACCGGCGAGGGATGGCTAAAAGACGATGACGTGGTTTCTCTGCTCAAGAGCGACAGTTACCAATCTTTCTGGGAAAACTTACAAGGCGGCGCCCCTCCGAACAACTTCGAGAACAACTTTATGGGCGTGCATACTGGTATGAGTGACTCCCACAAACTAGAGCGTATTCTTGCTGACTATGATTAACAGCTGGTCACTTCATCCTTGGTGGCGATCCTGCAGGAGATTTCACAGCTTCTCCTGCTGATCCATACTTCTTCTTTCACCACGCGTCGATTGACAGGCTTTATTGGACTTGGCAAAACCTGAAGCCGAGTGAGCGCACGAAGGCTCTATATGGTCCTACCGCCATGTCCAATCTTACCTCGCCCGCTGCGACTCTCCAAGACACTCTGGACATGGGATCGGCGTACCCTGGGTCCATCACCATTGAAGATGCCTCAAGCACCATGGGTGGTGCACCGTTTTGTTACACCTATATATAGACTTCCATACCTTAGACTTCGTTGTCTTTAGTAGGATTAATGATCATGTCAAGTCTGCATGTATGCGTTCGCGATGCGTGTACCAGATACTGATCTTAGTTCGTAGAATTCTTGAAGAGTCGAGCCTATAAGATTGCCTACATGTGTTGGCTTTCGATTATCTTCTCCTGAGCAGCCGTGCTGGGGGTTTTGGTCTTCCGGATTAAGTTGGTGATGATAGAGGAAGCAGCGATGACAGTGGCGCTTGAAACGCGGTCGTGCGAGATTGGACAGCCATTAGGCGATGTTGTTTGCAAAGGCAGTCCTGTCTACTTGACTATCGCACTGCTTGCTAGTTTAGGGAAACAGATATGTCAACGTTATAAATATGGTGAAAGCCTTTACCAGTACATACGACCATAGGACACTGAAAATTAGGCTTCCCGTCCGCTCAGCCATATACAAGCAGTGTACCGGCGGATTAGTAGTTAGGTGGGTGACCACTAGCGAATCCCCGCTGTTGTATGTTTTTTTAGTCAAATGAGTCGAGCCTTTTTGCTTCCCTTGAACTGGTGTGCGAAAGGATATTAGCCGGCGTGTTAATGACATATCTGCACCCCTTAGATCTTGCGCTGTCGAAGTCCGGCTCGAAGTGGCGAAGTCCTGTGCACTTTTGGCTCAGCATTTGGAGTGGCTCTTTGAACTCTCATAGGGATCTTTCGAGCTGTCCGGTTTGAACCAGCCCTACTATCTTGCCGTCTTCCAGTCGCAAGTCCTTGGACTATGCTTTGCATTCTTTTCGACCTTGCGTTCTTTGTGCCTGTCTCTACCCTTAACAATGCAGCATATCTATCGCTCTTGCTCATGCTTTCCCATTGAGCTTTCGCTGCGGGTACCCGAGCAAGCGCATCCTTGAGGTCATCAGGCATTACGATTGTAGCAGAGCCCGCATATGCACGATCCCATCTTCCGTCGGCCTTCGCAGCATCGATGGCTGCCAGGCCGGCAGGACGCATTCGGCCGTCCTCGATGAGACGCGATACCGTCCCAACATTCTTTTGAGACCATATACTCTTCGCTCGTCTCGGCGTATAGCGTACTGTCCAAAACGCGTCATCGCAAGCGTTGGCGCGACCGTCGATCCAGCCATAGCACAGCGCGACTTCGACAGCTTCAGCGGCAGTTATCGACGGTATACCGGAGCTCTTCCTGGCAAGCTTAACGTAGACGCCCGGCGCAGTGGCATGTTCGCGCTCGAGGAAAGCCTCGAAGTCTGCAGGCGTTGCAAATGTTTGTGTAGAAAACTCAGACGGTGTTGCCTTGAGCGGCATGGTGGGTGTGGGATTGTGGAGAAGTCGAGTAGTACACGATGCGGGCCGCCGTAGCTTACGGACAAGATGTATACGAAGAGGAAACCTAGTAACTGTCAAGGCTAATTATGTGCGCAAAAGCATTCGCAGTCACTATGAGTGAGGTGTATTCGTGGAGCCGCGTCGTACATGTTGCCATGATACGTTCTGGAGTCAGGGGCGCAACAACGCGTCAGGCGCGCCGTCGCATGAGCACGTGTGCGCCAAGCGAATACAGCATGTTGGCACAGACGGCGATCACAATGGCGAAGTAGCGCTGATACATAAATTCCACAACCTCAATTGATGTCAAGAACACATCTTGCATACCCAGATGCCTACCCCATACCTGAATACAGCAAAACAAAATTCCACCAGATGCCTTGTCGTTGTCACTAGATCGCATCAAGGCAAATTATGCCCCGACTTTCGCCCTCCTTGTCATTTGTCCTTCTTCCCTAGGCCCAACACTTGCCCTCTTCGTTTCCACCACTCCACCACTGCTCTCTTTCTTTGCCTTCACAGACTCACGACTGACCACGCTCTAACGTTCTGGTAAGCAACCGGTGAGAAACAGGTGGAGATAGGTGGAAGTAGGTATTGGTCCAAGTTTAGTACTATACGCCGAGACGCTTCCGCTCCGCATATAGAGCCAAGTCAAGTTGACGTATTCGTTCATGCAGGCTGTTCGTATTAGATAGCGAAGCTCTGTTCATCCTTTCTAGGCCCCAGTCCTCGCTTTACACCATCTTTCAGGCTCTCCCAATTAACACCGTCTATCCTGCGGCCACGAGTACCAATATCAGCGGCAACATCGGTTAGCTTGCCGGTCGCAATCCTACGCATCATGATCAGATCTTGCGCGCTCTGGAATGTCCTCCCCCTGCCCTCAGTGAGAAACTTCTCGATGTGCTCCTCCTCTTCTTTGGTAAACGGCAGACTGACTAGCTCGAAAGCCTTGGCATCTCGCGTGTACACCTCGTGTTCGGGGTCCTGAGACCAAGAGTTGTGGTCCAGGGTTTGCTCGACAAGGAGTTCCAGCAGCGGCTTCTGCTCATACTCTGGTCTGCTGTGAATCCACTGGTACATCTCCGTAACATTACGACCTGCAAGATACTTGGCAAACTCGTCCCTAGTCTTCTGGTCATCCAGTGGCGGCTGTACGCAGTTATAGTATGCTAAAGCCAATATATCGTCCTTAGGATCCCTTGCCATGCCCAAACTGCTCAGCTTATCGTTTCCAGTCAGAATTGTGTACATGATCTCATCAGGGAAAGTCGGTATTATGCCCGGGTACGTCAAGTGTCCGACAGCTGTCGAGAACTGGAGATGGTCTAGGAACCAGAGTCCTTCGACGAATGTCCAAAACCGCTTCTCAAGGTGTACGTCTTTCGCAAATGCTTCCGATAGTTCAGTCGCTTCGTGGTGTTGTGCTGACAAGTCTTTGAGCAAGTAAAACACTAGGCAGTGCTTGTTGTGTAGTGTGGTATTGGAAGAGATTATACGCAGGTGGAGGTCTTGGAGTTGTTGCGGGGTTTTGGGAGGGTACATCTTGCTTCCTACATTCCGATTAGTCCATCGTTGATACCAAAAGGGACGACGACTTGCCCTTGATGTTCAACAGTGTCAACAGCCGCTCGAAGAAGGTTCGTCCACCAAGCGCAGTCCTGTATGATTGAATCTCCTGAACAAGGCCATCGTTATAGTGCAGACCGTGATAAACGGCGTCAAAGTCTTCAACGTCAAGCATAGTCTTGATCGAGTGGAGCTTGTTTAGGTGGGGGTGTGTCGCGCTCCAGATGTTGATGGACCTGTTTTGATTCGCGCACGCCAGTAGTTTGATGTTGCCGGTCCTCGCGCAGTCACGTGATGCTCTCGACACCCTTAGCGCCAAACTCACAACTACCGCTTTGCATGCATTCATATACCATTGCAAGACATTTTTCGCGCTGTTCAGAGTTTTTGACCTCAGAAATCTACTCGAAACTTTCTCCACTCTTCACTCAAGTCTACACGCCGTGTCTTACTTTTTTGTCATATCGCATCAGCTTGAGACCACAGGTACTCAATTCCTAACAGTTGAACTATTATGTCCAACCAATATGCCTGTAGACTGTGAGCTTGGCGTAGCCACACACCCCTCACACAAGCATATACAACCTTAGTCCTCCGAATCCATGCGGTGTTTCGACTTGTTCCAGCACTGGTGGTGGAGTAGCAGATGGCAGATCAACTTCAAGAAATATGGAGTCGCAGTAAAACGACACCGTGCCCAAATACACATGATCGTATGAGCGAGCACGCAAGGCCTAGGGTATATAATCCATGGCACCATCGCACATCAATTCAAGCCATATACGTTGCATCGCAAGACTCGACTGATCGGGGTTTATGAAAGGCGCAATCAGCGATCGCATGGCCTGGCTGCGACATGCATGGCAACTGAGACTCCTCGGCAACAACAAAGAGCGGAGAGTCGGGTCGACAGTTTCCGAAAGCCGATTGCATGGACTTAGGGACAATCAAGAACTCCATGGCTTGGCTTCGGGATCAGATGATGGAGAAGTATTTTCGAAGAAGGTAAAGTCGATGTTTGCTCAAGCGAATGGTTGTCCGCGCAGCCCACCCACTTCGTGTGTTAGCGATTCGCACCTTGCAGGATCGGTAGACCTTTGCATTAACAACGTTATCCGGATGCTGCAAAGGCTAGGCAGAAACTTGGAGGCCTAATGAATAATCACTCCGATGCGATGAGTCAAACCCGGGGCTGCAAGGCTGGAAGGTGCTCAGTGTTGGCATCTGATGTAAGGTTGTGTCGGCATTAGAGTGAAGGCCTGGTTGGTATGCGGACAAAGACGCCGAAACAAGAGACTATGGTTCTAGAATCCAGTCGGCCGCGAAAGTACATTGACAAGAGCGATCAAGCATGACATGACGAGTTACAGTCAAGTCACTGTCACTGTGAGCATCTGCGAGCTCGGAAGTGGCCGGATAACATCAGAACACATGGAAATCGGAACCCGATCATTTAGCGGTCTGCGCACAGGATTATACCCGTCTTTAGTGCGCGTTGCCAAGAAGAAACAAAGCTTAAGTGGATTAGAGGTATGGCGCAGGTGACTATGACAATGCGAAAGCCAATAATGATGTCTTCCGCAAGGGTGTGGCTCGGGCGAAGCCTGGAGATAGCGGTGATAGAATTTGCGCAACTTCGCTAGGGAAAAATATGATCTGACAGGCGCGTGGTCCTAGTTTCCGGCGTACCCTAGACCAAGGTGGTGAAGATCGCATGTGAATCTTCGATTCGAACACCCTTCGCCAACGGAAGGCCGAGACGGATAGTCGCTGTCACCGGAATCCGACGCAACTCACACCTGTCCTTGTTACAAGCATGACGCGACACATTGAGTCTGTTACAAGTGCGCAATGGCCTTGGAATTGCACTTTGTAGGACTCCGTAATAGACAAGTTTTGCTGTCATGATGAATTAATTGCGACTAGCATGGCGAGGTTTGCCGGTGGAGTGTAAGATGCCATTAGCGGTGGCTGACGGAATGGTCCTCGAGTCCGTGCTTGCCCGGACCCACCTTGCGCCTGACATTCGCATAGGACGTCACAGCCTGCGAAGAATGCGATGCTATCGGAGTAGATTCGCAGCTGACAAAACTCCTGTCGCTATGACTTGATCAAACTCGTCGTTCCGAATCTTCCGGAAACAATATAGATGCGAGCCACGCCCATGGCGCAGGCAGCCACATGCATTGAAACACCTCTCACTACTGCGTCCGCTGTTTCCCTTCAGTCTTGCATCTTCTTATATTTCCAACTGCACGTACCGAATTAGAGCAGACTTTCATACGACTGGCTTGCGTATTTCCATTGCGACACTACCAGCTTTGCGCAGCACTGTCTATACCAAAGGCTTGAATCTTTAGTTGAGAGCAACATATATGCCGAATCGCGGGAGTTTGACGATAGCCGCTGCAGCGCTGCTGCTCGAGCTATTGCCGCTCGTGACTGCGCATGGAGACGGAGATGGCATGGACATGAGCGTACATGATGCGCCGGAATCGCAACCACAAAATACCGGCTTTGAAGGCTATTGGAGTCTTTCTGAACATGCATCGCTCATGTATTGGCACATAGGGCTCGAGATTCTAGCCTGGGTTTTCATTTTGCCAGTCGCAGTGATGTTCAGCATCGCTTGTTCAAGATATACTCTACCTTCACAACTGGCATTCCTCGCTACCAATGCGCTAGCACTTGTGCTCGGCCTTGTATACGACCACAGGACCCCAGAGATGTATGCAGGGAATGCACACAGTAAGACAGGATGGGCCATTACCTGGATCGCATCAGCGTGGGTGTTTCTGGCTCTCATTCAGGCCTACGCTGGGAGGCCTGCATCGCATTCCAAGGAGGACGAGTTGACGACGGCAAATATGCTTAGATATCAGCGCGTACATGACCAAGAGCTCCCGGCTCCATCACGATGGTCTGGCGATTCGGGGCAAGGTACAGAACGCAACTCGGCATCTCTGTACGACCATTCCCAGTCTCCTAGCGTAGAATCGGAAAACCTCCAATTCCCTGGCCCTGTACGAAAGCCTACACACGACGATGACTCTTTCGGCGATGGCGACGAGGACGACGAGAAACGCGGCTTTCTTCACAATACTTCCATAGATCATTTCTTCTCCCGCAACGTGGCTCGCTTTGCAGTCGGACGAACACTGCAGGCAATTCGCCTCCTCTACGTGATGGTCGAGCGCACAATATTAGTGCAGGGTTTTGTGGGAATAGTCAGCGGTGCTGTCGTCTATGGCGGTATCGGGAGAGGAGGCGCGGTTTTCAACGTTTTGGCACACACAGTAAAGGGAGGAATCTTCTTTCTATATGGCTTCCTCACACTCGGCCGATGGATGGGTGCATTTGCAGATTTCGGTTGGGCATGGAACGTTAAGCCAACAAAAGAAGTTGTCGGTCGTCGGAAGGCGGCGCTACCGTCAGCAGAGTTTACCGAATCCTTCGTCATTTGGCTTTACGGCTGTACAAACGTATTCCTGGAGCACCTGGCTGCGTGGGGTGATGCATGGACCGCTCAGGACCTGGAACATGTGTCAATCTCAGTTATGTTCTTTGGTGGTGGTTTGGTAAGTAAAGCTTTATTTCCTTCTCGCGCAACATCGCTGACCTTCCTAGTTGGGAATGTGCATCGAGTCGACAAGAGTGCGAGACCTTCTCAACAGTGGAGTGGTCGCGTCACAGGCAGCCTCGCTGCAGCATGAATCCTGGCAACAGCCAAGCCAATACCGCTTCTCCATGAACCCACTTCCAGCCCTTATCATTATGCTGCTCGGCAAAATGATGAGCTCTCACCACCAAAGCTCAATGGTCTCGACCATGATCCATACTCAATGGGGCAGCATGTTCATGGCGTTCGCTTTGGCCCGCGGTCTGACCTACATTACTCTGTACATCTCACCACCGACTTCCTTCCTTCCATCCCGACCACCTACGGAAATCATCACCGCCTTCTGTCTGATTTCGGGCGGTATCACCTTTATGGTCAGCAACAAGGATACCGTTGCAGCTCTTGAATCGTATAACCTTGATGCCATGTTCATCTTTACGGTTGTCATGGGCCTTACCGCAGTCCTCATGGCTTGGACCACAGTGGTCATTGCTATCAAGGGGTGGGCTTTACGAAAAGAGAGTAGCAGCCAGCATGCAAAGCGCTATGCTGGAGTGCTAGCGTGAACGTCATCTTCACGGGATATCCTTCATCGATCGGTTGGCATTAGATATTTGAACCGCAGGAAGTTGAACTTCCAACCTGATACCCTATTCCTTATCTTTTCTTACGACCTTAACGCAGTCTTGGTTCATGAGTTTATTGCAGTATACTCCTTTCTCAAGGAAAGCAGCCTAGATGACTGCATTTGATGCCTCTTTTGTTTTTGGTCGAGAATAGTAATGAAGTCTGTCTTGAGAGTCGACGGCTCTGGAAGTCAATACTAGTTCGCATCGACTGCAGCTAGAAATAGTAATGCGAGTCTATGGCCAAGTGGGAGAACCGCTTTAAAGCACAAGCTTCTTCATTCACCCGATCTATGCATTTCTCCGGATATCACTACATATGGATGGTGTGCTCAACGTGCTCCGCGACCTCGTCCAGCAATCCCTCTTGCTATGCCTGTGCCGCCCCTGGCTGCTCTGGGAGCACCCCCGCGCGTGGGTATACCGCCGCGCCCCCCTGCTCGCGGTATTCCCCCTCTTCCTCTAGGCACACCTGATGTTTTTGCAGCTGGCGCCGGCGTTTGAGGATTCTGGAATTTGGAAGCAATTTTGCTGCTCGGTGGGTTGTCGACGAAGGAAGTGTCGGTGGTCAAAAATGTGGCCTCCATGTCTTCAGGGCCTTGGGAGCGATTTAAATTCGCAGCACCCTGATCAGGCTGGTTCTGTGGTCGCTTGAACGATTCTTGAACAGGAGCCTACAATACAATTCCCACATTAGTAAACATGCTGCATTATACCTCTCCCCACGTCTTCTCCTCTTAGCTTTCTTGTTACACACCTCAGGAAAGTCTACGCAGAAAGCGTTCATGTTCATCCCGTATAGGAAGCCTGCAAAACTCTCTGAGAAGCGTGCCAGACTTTCGTGCATCAGTTGCAATTGCAGGAAGTTTTGTTCAAGATCCGCCATTGCGTCGCTCAACTCAGCAAACCCATCTTGCAGCCCCTCTAGTG